CTTCATCCGACTACAAGGTTTCATAAAAATCGACCCGCGACACTGTGTGTGGTCTCGTTGCAACGAGAAACCCTTTCGACCACCGAAATTTATCACGAGTAACTGCAACACTTTTCGCGAAGCTTACGCAACCGGATGAATCATTGGTTTATAATTGAACGTTTGTACAGTCGCGACATTCAATTTCTCTGATCTACGGCGTTAATGTCACGAATTAAACGGTAGATGTTCCCTCGCGCCTGCACCCGCTACTTATCAAGTTTTCGCGTCGTTATGCAACCCAATTTATATTACAATGCAATTAGAGGAACGAATGGTTATTGGGCGCGATAAGCAGTTCGATTCCACCCACGCAAACGTATATTAAAACCCAACGTTTCGACCAATTTCTTATCCCTTTTAAAAGGTACGATCTAAACTTCGTACAATGAAAACGAATTTTGTAAAATCAATTTTTCTTTGAGACTTTATTTTTAAAACAGCTAACGTTACGTAGAAATTATGTATTTTACAAAGGAATTTTTAGCAGAGCAGTGTTGCATCGTCACGTGCAAAAAGTAGGAACGGAGAAAATAAACAAAACCCGGCATTTCGAAAGGTTTCGCGCAAATCAATGATTATCCACCCTCCATAGCAATTTCCTCGTCCGGTTCGAACGAAGGTGAAAACCAGCTATGAGAGTCTATCGAAGATCGGTTCCCCTCCCCTGTTCCGCGACGGGGACGGGGAGCGGAGAACGTAAAGTCTCAGGAAGATCTACGATATAATTACATCGTATATCGTATTTTTCTATCACGTGATCGTCTTGCGTTAAAACTGAAAGCTAGGCCGCGGTCATGTGACTATTACCTCGTGAGCATTGCTTCGGGGGATCCGTTGGTATCAATTTCTCGATCGTTGCACGATAAATCTCTAATAGATGCAACACAAGTTTCTACTGCATTTTTTCCTTTTGTTAACACAACGGATACTTATCTCTAAATACATCATAAAACCAGGAGATATTCTCCATCGTGTGCCACGAAGACAAAGAATGCAATTTTTCTACTCCCGTTTTGATAGCAAGAGTAATTCAGAAAACGTAGATTACGGTGAAAGTCTCTGAACAATAGATCAAAACACGATGTAAGAACTTAATTATATTTATTAAATCTCTCTTTTCGTTGATGAGCAGAAATTTAAGAAACCCGAACCGACTTTAGATTTATTTCGTCTCTCGTCACCGAAGAGATCCACACTGTGATCGATAGATGCAAAGATAACGACACGATCGTATACAAGACGTGTTTGTACAGTTGTCTTCCAACGGAGACTTTTAATTTCATTACCGTATTAGATACAGATTATTTCATTCGCACACTGTTTCGTACGCTCCGGGAACTTGATCCTCCGATAATTATCTCGAACAATGTACGAACGATACGTACCACATGTTCCACGATACCGCACCATGCATCTAGTATTTATTGCCTCGCTTCGACCAATATTTCCACGTTTATTGTCCAGTTGAATGAAATCGACCATCGCGACTATCAATATCTCGTTTAATATGCACAATGATCGCATCCATGCAGCGACTGATTTATCGTGTACAGCGAAACGGATCGTAGTTTCAGTCTTTCGAGTACTACTATTATTAAACAGGGCGCACACGGTGTAACAGCGTGATAAATTCATTTAATCTGGCGCTCGCTTTATCCGCGTATATAAACATCTTAATGCACGTGAACGTTCCGAGCGTCTTTTACAACGAACGACGCGTCATACGCAAGAGTACTGGAATAACAAGTAACGATTGTACGAGTTCGAGCAACGAGACCTCGTTTATCGTACGGTGAAACGGAAAATCCGGAAGTAGGAAGTATTTACATCACAGACACGGAAATCGAGATACCAATACGTTCCTGAGCAATTGTAGAGATGATTGCGTATTGCGTTTTACAAGTATACCAGAGATAAAATATTACCAATAATCAAACTATTTTTAATCTATATGAAACGAATTATAATTTTGCACTTGTAAAATTTTTGGATAATTCCATGGAGTGACGTTAATTTTTGTAACGAGTTCCTGCAGAATGATATCATAATGATTTTATAATATCCTGGAGGAATAATTTTGGGATTAAGAACGACAGTCGTGTTGCTTAAATCGAACCGGTTTCATTAAAACATTCTTGTCCTTTTCGACTCACTTTCAACATTTTTAAATCAATTTTCTTTACGGGTTAAAAGTGGAACAGAAAAGATTTATGAGCAAAAAATTAAAAAAACAGATAATTGTGGTTTGCGCAATGCATAAGGGCGTATAGAAGAAGGAACGAATTATGACGAGGAAAAAGTAAAAAATTAAAAAACATAAAGAGCAAAAGTGTTGCTCAATATGCAAGGATTTATAGAAGAAATGATTGGGCGTATTTCTCGTAAGCTATGGACTCAGGATGATCGTGCAGATGTAAATCGTTAATTGAAAGGACTTTACTGCGATATATGCATCGATGCCAAAAAGTAAAAAATACATACGTTTATTCAATTATGAAACTCGATATTTCCAATATGATACAAACAAGGATATCGATGGTTTCAATTATGTACAACAATTGAACAATTTGTATCACAGTGTCACTAAAATTTTTTAAATATTCTTTGTTTCCGAAAATATGCGTTATAATTGATTGCTTGATCAACCTGCTGCAAAATTTTTGCATAATTTCAAAACCAAAATAAGAACGATGCTTAAATCAAACCGGTTCGACTGAAATATATAACAAGTGAAGTACATCGATCTTGATCTATCTGCGATTTGTCTGTTAGAAATATTAGGGTTCAAGAAAAATGTTGATGGTGGTCAACCTTATCCTCGAATCTCTAAACGAATCTAGTTCGGTGAAAGATAATGTTCGACGCGCTTTCGTTGTTACAATTTGATCGATCACGGGCCGCTATTCAATGATCCACGACCCACGCTGTTCACGATTTGTACTTGTCATTTCGATTTCTACGATTCGCAATCAACGGCTAATGCACGCCTTGTTACGAAGTCCCTCTAAACCACCAGCCATCGGTCTGATTAATCTTTTCACACGCTGCGATTCAAATCGAAGCCGATCCAAAGATACCTCTTACGTCATCTGGATCGATACGTTTGTTATATGAGTCACGAGCGTTTCAAAATTTTTTCGTAACACAGAAAGTGGCGATCGAAACGGGACTCTCCCCGTTGTACGTCGGACAAAACTGATGCTCGGAATTCGTCAACGCTTTCTTTTTTTTTTTTTTTATTTCGCTCGAAAGTCTAAATACTCCGACCGAGCGATTGGAATTCGAAGGAAAGTTTGCGTTTCAAAAACGTTTCTAGCGATCGTCAGACACGTTTAGAATCCTCCTAAATTCGCGAACGCGCCAAAATTGCAACAGTGTACGCAGCACACGTGACTGGTTAATGATTCGGCAGCAACGAGCGTCGAGATCTCATTAGCGACAATTTCGCGAACCGCACGGTCAATAATTTGATTTAATTGCGCAATCGACAATATTCTATCCACTGTTTAAATTCACATGACTTTCATAAACTTACGCAATTATGTTTAAGAGCTGCGTGTCGCTTATGTAACAGGAATTGAATGTCCATTCAGTATCGTGCAGTATACTCATAAAGGGACTTTATTGCCCCGCGAGTTAATGATGCTTCTATTTTCGAAGGCGTTTTTGATTTCGTTAAACTTCCCATTACCGCGGGCAGTTTCACTTCCACGCTGATTGTATTACAATTAGAGTTCGGGAAAGTTTGATCCCTGGGTACAACTGGGACAGATCGAGCAAATTTAATACAGTTTAGTAATTCAATTCGAATCATCGCCTTAAGTCGAACCAAACTACGCCAACGTTTTCGAAGGGTCTAATTAAAAATTAATCAACTTCTACATACGCGTCTAATCTTAATTCCCTGGCAGGTATATCCAAACTATCGATAAATAATATTATACGATTGCATTGATTTATTTTATTTCGCGTAAATTCATTTTTATTAATGTTGTAGATCCTGCAGGTACCAAAACCCGAATTCTCAGTGATGAGGACACAACAGGGTTTAAAAATATCTGAACCTCAACCTTTGCTGTGTATAAAATATTTCGATCCTTGTAAAGTTTCTGTGTGAATGTTTTCAGTAATAAAGTGTGCATCGTTATGTACGTAGGGGGTCGTACGTTATGGAAACGTGGTGAAAAACAACTCCTTTCCTAACAACGACCGGTATTAATCGTCTGGTTATGCAGTGCAACTTATTGCACAACTTATATTTAAATGTCCTGTTCTCCTTACTGTAAACAATTGCAAAATAGACGAGAAAAGATAGGCTTCCTAGTTTAAATAGATGGAAGATCACAGGCGTTCGATCCACCCTCTGATCGAGGGGCACCTAAAACGGTCTTCGAACGATCGAGGAAGGGTACTTGATTCCAAGTACTTACGTGCACTCTCGGATCTGTTCTAATCGAGTATACGTTCCGGTAACAAGATCGAAAATTGGGACCGCGAGTGGTCCCCGAAAGCTTGTAACCGCCGTCAGGCATTCCAATTCCACGGGACGATTAATCGGGTGGCGACTTTCGGCGTCGCGTACGTGTTTCGGCGAACACGGAGACACAATCGACGTCTCGAATCGAGGGCAGCAGCCGGCGGCTCGTACAGAGAAAGGAAAGTAAAACGTGGACGGGAGTCTACGCCTCCTCCGCCTCCCTCTCCCACTCTCTCGTTCGGTTTTCCTCGTCGGGTTCTCTCTCACCTGGAGGTTGTTACCTCGAGGTAAGGTAACTCGCGTTCCCCCACCCCCGTTGGTCGAGCGTTTCGCGGGGCCGCGCTTTTGGGGAGCTTTCCGCCACCAAGTGGACGCGAACGTAGCTCCGCGATAAAGAACTATACCGGCACCCGCGAACGCAGGACACGAGAGAGCCAAGTTAACGGATTATACGAGACACTCGGTCAGTGAGTCTCTAACCGACAATCGCCTAACACCGTCGAGTGGTCACCTGGACTACGTTGGACAGGCCGGTCAGTAGAAAACCACCGGCAATATCGCACGAAACACGCCGGTGATCCATCGATCGTTCTTAAACTCGAAGACGATCCGTAGATCCGTTGCATTTATTTTTTCCCGTCGTTTCGCGCGAGCCACCCCCTCCCTCTCGGTTTTTTTTTCGCCCGTGGTTCGGAAGAAAGTGCGTCGGAAGTGCTACACAACCACACACACACACACGTTCCCTTGGTCGTTCGATAGCAGCGATCCTCGACGAGCGATCCTGATCTCCCTTCGACTGGAACGTTTCGAAGGCAACGTGGAGCACGTGATAACAGAATGCACGGGTGAGTTACAGTTCAGGGGGCCCGAGAAACTGGTAGACCAAGAAACGGTCGCCCGACAGAGTTTCCGGAGACTGGGCGCGTGGGCCGATTCGTTTTCCAGGAACTACGTTATCTTCTAACGTGGTTAATTCTTAAACACGATACTGAACCGAAAATTGTAACAAATGGGAATTCATTCGATTAGAACAGTGTAATTTCTATCCGTCTGACATGTTTCGTTCCTTAACGTTTGATCTATGAACGGTGATTGCGATGATTTTTATTGAACTCGATCGTTACATCGAGTTCAATCAAAATCGATATAATGTCTGTAACTTTATGAAATTTAAAACCCGTCAAAACATTGGAGAATTTTCAAAACTGTATTATGAACATTTTGTACCAAAGATTTGTGTCTATGTATGCATTAGTATTAAAATTGAAACTCTGAGGTGACCGTGCGCGACCCCTAGCGTAACAAGTAGTCACGTGACCTGTGACCGGGGTTAACAAGCAACGGTGAAACAGTTCCTTGTCCTTTATTTGTCGCTCTAAATAATAATTTTACCAATGTTTAGACTGTACCGTGGAACAGAGAAATTTTTATTCGAATAATGGATAACATATGAGAACACGGTATTCTGATTTATTAGCGATGTTTAATCAAGCAAGCTTCAGTGTTCTAACGTAACATAGCGAGTGATTAATGAGCGTGATGATGGAAATATGGTGTCACGGATTTTTATTCCAGCAAATCATTTATTTGGTTTTACATTTTATGAAAATCCTGTGCGTTATTATTAAAATAGATTCAGGTTTGATTTGAAAACTACGTTAATTTGAAAATAATGAAAGGCACTTGCGGCTATGAAATAGGCTCGATTATTGAACCCCTTGAGACGACATTGGAGTAATATGAAACGATGAAAGCGAAAGTGGACCCATAAATTGTCCATATATTAGTTAATGAACCGAAATCAATGTAAATATATAGCGAACCATCTATTATCCAAGCCTCGATCATTCGATTTCCTAGAGTTTCTAAAATATTAATGAGCTGTATCGTTATCTATTTCTATATTTCCAACCCCTCGATTATTCTATCAACCCTCTATAATTCAAACTATATTTAGAAACCACTTTGACTTTTAAACTAATCATTTTTCGACCCTGGTACCAACACTCTTTTTATAAAAGACAAAAAAGTGTACTGATTGGTGTATAAAAAACCCAAGTGACCTTGAACTTATCAAAATGCCTCCACTTTAATACCACATACTAAGGGTTACAGGAAACACCTTGTATCTATATATACATTTATAATAGTGTTCAGACTCCAAGCACGTAGATAATGAGTATGTAATTTCAAAGTCACGTGGGGTTATAGAAGGGTAATCAAATATTAATTGAATAGCCACCTGCAGTCCATAAATCAAAGATAATAAATAATACTTGCATGACAGGTAGAATAAGAAAAGGAGATATTTTCCTTTTTACGTGGGTTTTCTACGGAAGTATATCATATTATAACGATACAATAAAATGTAGGTCAATAAGAGACCCGAGTAAAAGATATCTCCAACAGTGGGAATTTTTGTACCTCACCTTGCGAACACTGAAGGTTGGGTTCACCGATCTGTGGTAATGGGAGATCATAAAGTCATCGTAAAGTAATTTATGTCTAATTGTTAGGTTTCTTAAGTACCCGATGAATTCTTCAATTTTCTGTATTTGTATTTGCTATGAATTTATCAATAGAACAATATCATTCGAACGTGCTTCAACGCAGTTTAATGTATCTATTACAGCATTTACGAAGTTAATTTTATACCAATGATGTAAGACGTTGTTACACCTACCCAATTAGTCTAAATGATCGTTATATTCACGGTTCAAGAATCGCTGCACGCATATTTAACTCGCAGGTGAAAGAAATACAACGAACGGTGCATCCTCCAGTGGTATAATATTGGGTTATTGAATGAATGCATTCAGGTTTAGGGTTTCAACTTTGACTAAACATAGCTGGAAGCCGGTACGAAGAGTATTAATAGAAATGTATGCCAATTCCTTCAACAGAGTTTCTATAACGCAATACACGCGAATTAATGTCGTGTAAGAATCAATCATTTTTCGCATCGGTGGAGTGTAAATAATGCTCGTTACGCGTAAACTGTATCATTTACTTTCTACCACATTACTTTATATTATTCTTCAGAATTTATATATTTAACTTATTTCTCAGATTTCTTTTTAAACGACCAGTCCTAAAGCAAGTATATAAATACCTTCTTGTTCGTGTAATTTCCAAACTCACCCCTGATACAGCGAGCAATGATTAAAACGAGGAAATTTGTAGGTCCCCTGACCCTCGTTGGAACCAAGTTCGACTAGTTAGGCAAGTTCCCGGAGGGCAAAAAAGTCCCCTCGAAAATGCAATAATTAGAAGTAATTCCATTGTATTAATGAGAGAAGGAGAAACGAATTTAAATCACATCCGAACACATCCACCGATGCGATAAAATGTCTACTTCTAATTACTACATTCGTTGAGTTTCTGGGGCGCTGGTCCATACAGTTTAGAAGGCGATTAGCGTGGAAGACGAATACTAGCGATCGAAGGAACCGATTTTGAACGCGTAAAATATCATTGGACGTCGATTTCCTCGGTTACCGCAAACCTGATCGAGTATTGCCTATCGAAAATACGCGAAATGAGTCTCTATCGGTCCGAGACGCGTTGCCAACGATCTGCGAGGAAAGTGAAAGGAGAATCCGCGGTAGACGCAATGAGAAAGTAATCCACTTGATCTTTATTCCGATCAACTTGCCGTCTTTTATCTGAATCGCGTTGTTACGCGTTAACTTCGGCCTGAGAACGTTATCACGTGCCGATTACTTCCCCGTGTAATTAATAATTAGCGACGATTCCGTTTCGTAACTCGCCGATTCGATACGCTCTTTCTCGCTTTCACCGACAGCGACAATTGGAAATTCCATTTTCCAATCGCCGCGATACAGTGTTCTCGGAAACGCGATATCACGGTCTGCGTCATTGGAGCACAAAACGTGGAATTCCAGATATTAGAACCACCAAATTCGTCAAAACGACCGATTCAGATTTCTAATTTCAAGAGATCAAGGCAGCTAAATTTTAGTAATCGTGTCCCTTATCAATCCGATACTATCGAGACAAGAAAGTAGCGATTCTGACGTAACAGTGAAAGGATCAATAGTGGGATTCTAATCGTAGATATCTGTAAATGACTCTGGCTAAATAGGAAAATGTTGCTTAATGAAAAATCTAAAAGGAAAGTATCCCACACAGAGCGATACGAAATTAATAGTGTACCGAAGTAAATGTACCTCATCAATCCGACATTATTGACGCAACGAAAGTAACAAATATATGATGCAATAGAGAAAGGACTACATCGCGAGATTCTAATTGTACATATCTGTAAAGAACTCCGTTTAAAAAGAAAATATTTAAAAAAAAGGAGCATTCTACACCCTGTAATTCGAGAGTAATATCGCTCAGAAATGACTGAATTTATCAACCCAACATTATCTACTTACTAAAAGCTGCAATTATGACGTAATTGTGAAAGGATCTGTCTCGTGATTCGAATTGTACCACGAGTAAGACAAAAGCAAAGAATCTATATCCGAGTGAAATTTGTGAATTTCGAAGGAGTTACAAAAATAATTAATACGACAAATTATGAATTATTCAAGCAGGTAAAAATTGGTATAAAATTATATTTTTACTTCTGGTCGACAAGACTGCGATCCAGTTATGCATTTCACGCAGTGGTTACGGTCTCGTATATTTTTCGAGCGACTTCTTTTCGAGTTTTCACCTTTCGCCGGCTTTCGGTACGCCCAAAGATTTCCTACGTTTCTCGATTCGATTTCTCGCTGTTACGAGGCCGGAATACCGGGTCAACTCGAGCAATTCGTACGAATAAGATGCCGACGTTTCCGTACGAAAAAAAGAATCGACGGATATCGTGGTTGGCTCCGAGCCAGACCACCGAGGTAACGGAATGGACGTGATCCTTCGCGCGGAAAATGTTTTATCGCGACGACGATGATAACCGCAGAAAAGATTGCTCTCGCCACCGGTTCAGCTTTGTGTTATCGATACCGTGGACCACACATTTTCCAACAAATTAAATAACACTCTATATTTCAAAATATACGTCACGCGATCCTGTATTACGAATATCATAACAGGCGTGACGTTACATATAATAAATACAATATAATGACCATCCAGATCATTTTCGACTCCTGACAGTCTCGATGTTTTTCGTTATTCATTTGGTATTAATTTAATCGAGCACTTTCGACCGTCGCGATCGACAGATTAAGCGTATAATTCTCGTAAGCACAGGTGCTGCTCGATAAATTACAGTATTTTTCCTTACGTAATTTGAGTAAAACAATTACACGCTATATTTGATACCCAGAAAGTTTAATTCCAATGACGGTGAGCGGTGAAAAATATTTTGTAATATATTATTAAGTAGGATAATTCCTTTCCAAGGTGTTTTTACAACCATGATCTTTTATAGTACTCCTTATAAAAAAAAATAATATTCATTATATTAATTGTATATAATGCTGCATCCAACGATGTTGATTTAAAAATGTTTGATCAAAATTATCCCTGTCAATATAGCCTGGTTATTTATTGACAATATATAACCTACTTGAATATACCACAGGAACTGGTCCGAATTATCCTGTTCCTTCGTTTACCACAATTCTCAACAGGGTAATTCAGACCACCCACTTATCTCCTTTCAAATTTTACCCAACATGTTTTACTCTTAATATGTTGTTCCCAAGAGTCTAATTCGCATTTGTGGTAATTAGGAAACCAAAATTTTATTCACAGAGTCAGCAACGAAAGATATAACTTTAATATTTAAATTTTGATTTCAATCTTAATGCAATAAATACTTAAAGTACAATAGCGAGTAATGAATGAATCTAGCTTTCAATACCCGAAAAAGTCGCGCAAGAACGAACTTCGTTTCGATGCTCGAGAGTTATTTAAAGTAATTCCATTCAATTATTCTTTCGATCTTTCATTTAACAGGATTCCAATTCTTTTTTTTTACCCCCGTTATGCAAGATTGTTCACCTTTTTGCCCGTGAATTTTTATTACGTCCACATCGGGAAATAAATCACGAGCGCCGCGTTAATATTTTTCTCCTCTCGCCCGGTGGATTTATGTCCTTTCGATGCATTTCGCGGAGGATTCCGTAAATTGTATCGATTAAATCCGAGAGAAGTCATTGACTGAAGGCAGTTGGTTAATAGGACTTATGAAATCGAATGCGGCGCGACCGGTTTATCGGTGCGTTTCGTCCGTGAGCGGCGAGCAGAATGCGCAAGGTGACCAGAGAAAAAGAGAGAAAAAAGAGAGAAAAAAAAAAAGAAACTGAAATCGTTTCAAATGTCGATTGCCTTTCTTATCTGATTAATATGTAGAACGTCGCGTACTTTCATTCCCATCCTCGTGTTAACCCGTGAATATTGTTCACCGAGATAAGCCAAAGCCCGCCACATTGAAAGGTTCGACTCGAGGTCGATTAAGAATTCCGAGAAACCAATCGTGCAAAAGCTGAAACAATTTTAATCCCGCGCGAGAATTTTAAATATCATAATAACGAAATTGTTCTTGTTTCGTGATATCGTGACATATACATAAAACTTTATAACGTGAAATGTACATTAGTTCGCATTTACATGGACTTTTACTTCAAAAAAAAGCTAATAAACGTCACTGTATAATGTCAAATAATTTTTTAAATTCCTGTATGCATTGCAATTACTTAAATCAGTCGCGTTTATCGAACTCCAAACAGCTTGTAGCGATGAATATTTTTTGTACCGAAGTACAGCCATCGAGAACCGAGGAGTTTTCACGTAATTCTTTGTTAGACCGGCAGGATAATTCGCGTTTTGCAATTTAGTTTCTCCGCCGTATTCACGCATCGACGAAAGGAGGCGTAGTTGCGAACGAACCTTTCATTACGATAGAATTCAAGGCAGACTTGATCTTGATAATTTCGTTCGCAAAACAGCCGTATCGTTTCCGAAACCTCTTCAAATCTCTCGAAAGCCAATATATTGCCACACCTCGGTTCGCGTTACTTTATATTTTCTTTTTCTCCAAAAGTTGCGCAATAAACAATCGGTGGAAAGTACACCGCTAATTATATAAACCGATCGTATTAGGCGTTACCGCGGTAACAGTTCTATATGTTAATGAATTTTTTTTCGCGCAGACAAAAATAAATAACATGGTAAGTTAATCGTTAGAAACTACAAATTCCTTTCGTTTAATTCTCCAACGTTTTTTTTCACGACGAACAGCGTATTCGGAATTGTAATTTATTACGGTTCGGGAAATGCTGAAGAAAAGACGGGAGTTTGAATTTTAAATGTAACTTTCCAACCTGGATATTTAAGTTAAAATGGAGCTTAGTGTTTCAATAATTTTTTTATATAATTGTGAAATTTCTGAGACAGTGATATATTGCTTGTGAAAATATTGATGCATTTTTCGTGTGGTGGTTAGGACAATGGTGATGTCGTGTTGTGAGAAAGTTGTCACATTTCTCTTAACAATCAACGTGTTAATGAAAATTTTATCCCACGTATCTTATCGTTTTCATGAATAAACAGCGGTGGGAATAATGTCTGTCGTCCGGGGAAAAATCGCTTCAGTTATCCGAGGATTACTGTAATGAGAGTCGAAATGACAACCTCGTGCGTCGTGTGTTCGCGGAACTATGCGACAACGGAAAATAAAAGTCTTCCTAACGCTTCTATGCTTTCCCAGCCATATACGACAATCTTGCTGCAATTACTTGGAAATGCAACCATGCATTTACTCGTGGCGAGCACACACGCTAACGAACGAAAGTTCGAAGTCGAAGACACCTTTGGCAACTGTTGCAAGAAGCATGAAAAATAACAAAAATATGTCCCTATTTTTATTCTAAAATTTAAAAATGTGGATCATAGTTTGCTTCTGCGGTATATCCCATTAATCCAGCGACAGACTGGTATAGATGAGCGACAATCTTTCTTCAATCAAACTAACTGTAATTTCATCTTGGCTTAGCATTCAACCTGTTCATGACATACTATATTTTAATCCTGCTGGTAATTGTCGCGGTTTAAAATACAGGTGAATGGCCAAACGACTATTCCAATAGACTGAACACACGCGCCTACCGTATCCCAGAAAATATTCCACGGCCTCGAGAACGTTGTTTTCTGTTATTTCAAACCGTCTAATGTATCGTTGAAATCTTTTTCTTGCACAGATTATAAAACTATACATTTTAAATGTTTGGTCCTTATAAAAATACCGAAAAGTTCGATCGATCGGAAGTCTCGTTATACGGGAAGAAGAACGTAAACACCAGAGATCGTTGCTCCTTTAATAAATCACGAACGACGTTCCTACACGCCCGATTAATTTATACTCAATTAATTAACGTTTCGATGCACGCAATATTTTCTGGGACACCCTAATATTACATCGAACGGCGCCGAGTCAGGGTAATAAATTGACATTTATACGCCTTCAACCTCGCATCAAGGTGGGCTTTCTCTTGGATATGCGGTTAGACAAACTCGACGATATTGGAGCGGTATGGAAAATAACCATTTGCACGCGTTTTGCAATGCAAATAGTGTAGCTACGTACAGCGATAATTACCTTCTCGCGGGAGCTAATGACACCGCGGTAATCAGTCTTATCTGGCTGTTCGCGAAATCCTCGTGATCGTACACTTGGACTTTACGGTTCATTGTTGTAAACGATGTAGCATCGCGAAGGAAAGCTGTGGGAATTGCCCTCAGGAAGCCGTTTCCTCCTTACACGGTCTGTACATAATACGTAATATGAGAAACGCCATTCATACCGTAACGAAGGCGACCTTTTCCGATCAAAAAATCACAGCCCTACGAGAACCTCGTTAAACTTCGACGGAAGATGAATTTGAATTCCTCGGAGTAGCGCGGATTATCGACGAAAGAAATGGGAACTGCATGATCGAGTTATCTACTAAATTTACTTACTGAAATAGGCATCCGAACTACTTAGAATCCGACGTTTGTAATTTGTTTAGACGTAACTGCACGATGTGATGCTGGGAAACGTTTAAACACGATGTGTACGGCAGAACTGTTTTAATATACAGAATTTGATGCAGGGGATGCGAGAAATATTAAAACGAATGACTTGCATATCTCGCATAGTCTCCAGTCTTGATCGTCAGAAATCCTAGCTAACATCATTTCGAAGGAACGGTCTCCTCACACTTTTCTATCCTTTCACCTAACGTATTGTTAGATCTGTTCTACGGCCACTCGTGTTCAACAATATTTCGTATCTATTCTCGCCTGTATTGGAACCATAATCAATCTTACTAGTAGATTTAATCTCTACGAGACTCGTCGAGTAAATATAAATATAAATATGAAAAAAAAGAGATCTAGATCTAAACCATTTAACTTACACTGTGGTCTATTTAGTTTCCAAAAGCTGACTTACAATTTACAGACTCAGAAAGTTAAGAAAATTAACAGATCCTAAGCTTGAGCCATGTTTTCAGTTGATTTTAATTACTCGGGTTAAGGAAAGGAACGTTTCTTGCGCTCAGTCTCGGGAGTCTGAATCGCGAAAGGTTTCAGGGGATCGTTGATCCGCGAAATTGATTTTACACACGGGATAAGATAACAATTCGTGACAGATACGTCGGATTAAGAGTAATTTCGCTAGATCCGATATTCTGGCAGAAACACTGTTCACGGTATCCCGATGGCGGTGAAGATAATCGTCGCTATTATAATGTTGCAGATCCATGATAGGGCGGACACGATCCGCTATAATCGGACTCCTGCTGCTACTAGTCACGTGGAGGAGTAGCTGCTACGGACTGCAATACCAGTCGGTCGAGGCTTATGCAAACGGCGATGACTGTGCTTTGGTTCTCAACGGTCCAGGAAGGACGAACGCCTTCGATTATACCTACAATCTACTTCGTGGTACCTTGTAAGCAATCTTCTATCAAATTAAACTTCGAACACGGTATCGACTACCTAGTTAATGCGTTCCGCGGCTGGAGCTCGAGCCAATTTTCGCCCCACGGTTCTCCCAGAGTAACAGTTCCACTTACGACACATGACTCACGATACCCCCAACACTGTGAAAATCATCATTAAGGCGTAACGTTTAAGAACAAAGGAAAAATTCTTGCTTCAACGAGTTATCGTCGCGGTTGCAGTTTACCCTCGCCTCGATCTTCCCGTCGCGCGTAAAAGGCGCGAACGACAATCGAATCCTTCGAACACTTCACGCCCCTTGAAAGTTGCAACCGAATCGTCGTTACGTAACGCGACAAGACCTTCACTGACATTTTCGAGGTCTGGAGAAAGCAGGAACTCCGATCAGGATCAGTAATCAGGACTTTCTCTATGTATTTAACCTCTGTCCCCGCGTGCTTCGCTTTAATCGCAGCGACTTTTACGAAAACCTTTCTTCTCGAACGACGTTACTCAATCACTGTCATCCTGTCAGTCGATTTTTTCAACATTCCTCTCTCTGACAGGGTTGGGACTACTCGAATACTTCAAGAAGTTTTCTTTGAAACGATTCTTGTATCGAGGAAGCTTTTAGGTACAGTTAAATCCGGATCTAAGTGCAAGTAATGAAAACAAGTCTGCGACAGAGAAATAAAGAATATTCAACGAGTAGTCCCGGTTTAGCTGGCAACACCCAACTTCATTGTTAAACGACGAAGATTTAAAAGTCGAAGCTGAAAATAAACCCGTCCGGGTAGCATATTTCCGCAATTCACCAGGGACGTTGTACGCCCGATGATAATTTATCACGGTGGATAAAAGTGTATCTCAATATCAGGTCGTGAGAACGCTCGTATAATGAGGACAGGCCGTTATACGCCGTGGAAAACCTGATCTCCTTTTGTTTATCAACGCGGATAAGACAATGGAGGACTGTCGTAATTCCTAGGTTCGAAACCTTGAAACAAGTCGTGGAGTTGTATTCCTTGGTGTCGCAAGGAACGATGCACTCCGGGATCGTTCGAAGCACTGTTTCTTCAGGAATTAATAAACTTCGTCTTGTGGAATAATCGTTTCAGAGAAAGATCAAGCCCTAAAATCGAGGCGTTAGAAGACTGAGACGCGTTTTATCGAGTTTCTAATTTCTATTAAAATCTATTAAAGCAAGCCGCTATAAATAACGTGGTGCACGAAACAAAAGGGTTGATCTATTTTTGGACGTACCGGAGAGCATGGTTTTGCCACTTACAAGGCATAATGCAATTGCACAGTTTTCGTGCAATTACGAGGCACGAACTGCCAATGTGCGACTGTGTGAGTAAATCTTATTGCACACGTGCAAATAAATATTCCCACGTGCGAACGTGTGCTCTTGTTCGACAGCCCGTGCAGTCACGATCGAACTTGTAATCGAGCAGAAAAGAAACCGTCGTGGTTAGTCGTGGAACCCTTCGCGGCTCGGCGCTAATAAAACACGCCAGTGGCCGGGGTAAAAGGAAGCAATCATCGTCCATTTCGGAAATCGAGCTTAACGAGATAATTAGAAAATTACACACGATAATACGTGCCTCTACTAATGAATGATCATTGCACAATGTGGATTTTTTGCTCCACTCTATCGCGAGGTATTTACTTAAGAGAAACATTCGTCGATCTGTATATCTGTTGACCAAGTCGAATTAATAATTTTACAATTATCAAAAATAAATTACCTTTCGGGGGAGATCAATTAAATTAAACAACGTTCGCGTCTGATTGAATTTTCAATTTGACAAGAAAATTTGAAAAATTACTATTTTTTGAAAACATGGGGGTCAAATATAAGCCTAAAAATGAAAGACAAAAGTGAGATATGGTAATGAAACCATCTAATTTTAAAATGTTTGTAAACTCGATTGATTTACAATGTTGCTGAATTATGATAGAAACGACTCTTCTAATTTTAATTTCATTTGCATATCGGCAATCCCCCGAGCCACGATGCGCGAGATAAAAGATGCACGTAAGTAATATGCAAATCAATTTTTTGATTGCATCTCGCGCGAATAGAATTATGCAAGACTTACGTATCACATCGATGCATTCGTTTCGCAAAAAAAAAAGAAGCGTTTATAGTCGCCCGAGGATAAGATGTAATGACATATCCGCGACACCGAACACATCGAAACGAAATAAGCGACCTACGCATGCGTTATGAACGTTGCGTTACCAATCATAGTGAAACTCAGATCAGCCTGCGTTTTCTGCAGCTAAAATGCAGTTAAAATATTTTCGCAACCGGTGTAACGAACCGATGGAGGAATTTTCCTTGGAATTTCTATATTTACGGTACGGTGCTCGCTATGAATAATATTACACCACGGACGGTTCACAAACATCGAAAGGACAACAGTAAAAACAGGCAAATTTTTTAGTCACCAGAAGTAATATCTCGTTCTAATTTTTTAAAATGAATTATTGGTAAAATAACTAACAGAAATTATGTTCAATCGGTGTTTGAAAAGAACAAAGAACAAAAAGGAAAATTTAATTTCTTTAAATGATAAAAAGTCCATAGAACTCTATGATGATTAAAATTAAAGTCGTCCAGACGCGGAATTTAAAAAGTTGCCAGTTATCGATACTATCGATACAATTCAGCCTTGAATAACGATACTTTGTCAGCTGATACTGAATGAAATAGGAAATCTATAGCTTGTGCAATTAAAAGGCAGATCGTGTTCTTGGTAATAATATCGAGAATGTGCATTCCGCAATACGGTATAACTTTTCATCCGCGTTTTATGAATGTCATTTGCTCGCGTGGGCTTAAAATTCCTGACACTTGCAAAAATACTGTTAACTAATATACAGCAAACACGAATAATATTTATCATAGAGCATTGCTCGAAGCAGGATTAGGGAGGAATATTTAAGTTCAACTTTTTACACAACTTGAACGAAGCTATTATTGAATGGAATTTTCCATTAATATGTTGATTAATCAATCTTTACGTCGAGGTTTCCATTACCTTTTACCATCGATGGCAAGAAAATTACATAATTCCACGTGTGGAGAAGATCAAGTCATTTAAACTTTCTTAAATCCATCGAATACGTTGCACTTGTGGCGTTTAAGTGCAACGATGACTTTCTAAGCCTTAAATTTTCAACAATTTATAATTGCCGCGATTCGTGAATATATATTTTCCATTGTATCGTGGAAAACTGTCGGACAACTTAATATCATCGTGGCAGAATTTTATCTCATTTATGTAACACGCAACCCGTTAAAGCGTCTTTGCTAAATCGCGACTAAATGTACTTTCTACCCACTTTGAAATTGCTCATGGCCAATTTTATTACGTTACACGAATTGCAGTCCATGTAAGCGTTTGCAGAGGGAAACGTGTTTCAAACGCAACTTTTCCTTCTTCGGGTTTCACGTAGTCAAACCAGATGAATATAAAGAAATTGTTAATGCGATTACTTATCCGGTTTTCTGTCGTACGCTATGAACTTTAAAATACTTTCGTACAATTCTTAGCCTCGAAAGAATCTCTATATTTTTTCTCACAAAAAATAGTCCCGCGTTATTAATATTGAACTTCGGAATTAATTGATGGAATTTATGCACGGTACTCGATCAACGAAATCTAGGCAGAAGGAACGCAATTGATCGTACAAATTGATTTGTTTACTTAACCACGCGCAAGGTAATAAAACAGCCATTCCAGCGCGAGAATGAATTCTGTTGTAATTAAATCCAGAACGCCCCTCGAATACATTCTCTCCAATACTTTCAGCGCGTACCCATTACTTCGTTTAATAACGATTGTGACAGGATAATCTGTGGGAAAATATTTCCGAGCAAAACTAGGTTTACGTACAATTCATGAACACCGTGTAAGCCTCAGGAACCATAGTAGAAGTGGGTTTCTGAACAATTTACGAACGCCATGTACGCCATAGGAATGTTAATAAAGCCTTACAATTATCCCTCGAAGTATTCTAGCGTCGATTAAAACGACTAAATAATTTTTAGAAATCGGTAACGAACGACAGAATTAGATCAAGCAAAGAACTGTACGTAGATCATGAAACGATCCTCTGCGAGCCTCCCCTTCAATTTCAAATCAATCACAAGCTACTAATTATTGTTACTTTCCTGTGCTTAATAAGTCATGATCGTCGGAGTTGCATTTTGCTCCAAACGAGCACCGTAAAAACAAAAGAAAAATTTCGTTTCGGTCTCTTGACTCTTTGGAAACCTCAACTTAATATTCTGTGAGCATATACAATTAACGCGGCGCATATTATTTTTCTATTCAATTATACCAGACAGAAGGGTATTAATTAATTACTTCTGACGAAGGGTGTGAAGCAATGGCGGAGCATTGCACGAGAAAGTGTTCGCTGTCCAATTAAGGAAAATCAGGCTGAACAGTATCGAGCAATTCCTTCGGCAGATACAAAGATCCTTGATCCTCGATTATAAAATAGAAGATTCATTCGAATCGTTCTAATCGTTCGATGAATGGAATAATTCTCCACCCACGTTTACATCCCCGGGCATCTCTCTAATCTTCATTTTAACAATTTGTAATAGATCCTATCTTGTATTTGTACTTTGTGTAATGCGATTCGTTACGACTGTAACAACTCGTTTTTCTCGATATGTTCGATGGGATTTAGGTCAGGCGATTGAGTTGGTCACGGTAAAACTTTCTTACGTTTCTTCTACGCACTAAAGTGTCAGTCGGACAAGTAATGTCGAAGCACGTGGAACAGGTGTCAACTAAATGGTACCAAGTTTCAAGAATGTGCCACGCGCGGAAGGAGTACTTAGCTCAACTTGAAGATAATGTCTTATAAATAATGTGTGATCGAACGTTGTCATACAGTAGTACGATCTAACAGTTTCCCTGACCGGTAAACGCTCTCTATCGGTGCAATTTATCGCCCAAATTGATCAATTGACGTTGATAGCGATCTCCTGTGATTGTTTCACCACGGAGCAGCTCGCGATACAACACACTTTTCATGTTTCAAATTTCTTTTGCGTGTTTTTCTTTAAATGATCGATTTCTCTTACTTCTTTTACTGCCTAGTCATCAAAGACAGATCATACACGGTCTTAATCGTCAGTTTTTGACTCTGACATCGCGACATGCTCGAAATCAACGTATTAATTTCTTGCAAATCTCTTGGAGGATTTGTCAGACCAATCGTATCCCACACGTATGCAATCGGTGACAAATCCGGTGATTGGCAAGTCAAGGCAAAGAATCGAACGAAACAAGAAAGGGAAAATTATGCACATGCAGTCTGCAAGAGGCTTAACTCGACGACTCTTGATTTTTATCCCAAATTTTGATCAATTGTGGGTAAAAATGTGTGTAATAATATAGAATATTTTTAAATTTCATCCTCATTTCTAGATCCCAAAATAAAGTTACCTGCATGTGTTTGTATTACAAATTCATTCGACTCCCCCATTTTCTTGAGATTTAATTTCGCGGAGGAAATAATTTTATCGATTATTAAAAAAAGCATTCCTTATTTAATAAAATTTAATAAAATTCTTCCCTACATCGAATTTGAAAAGTACGATTGAATCTGTCTGGGCGCGTCTGTCCATTACTCACTGTTTCTACTTGGACCAACGTCCAAGTCCCATCCTATCGCGTCTCTAAAATTTTGTTCAGCTCCTGGGGAAACATACCACGACTAAAATTGATATTTTTGATTTACGAGTAAAAAGAAATATCGATTTTTTGAACCTGTCACAGGGGAATTCCTCTTTAAGGGACTGCTCGCGAAATTTCGTGTTAAAAGTTTGCTCGCAGAAACGTGTAATGACCCGTTTAAAATAAAGTGGAGGCACCCGATGGTGGTTCGAAATCGAAACGGCGATCTATCATCGTCGATTGGCCGCGGTACGCATTAAACGAGGAAACGGGCGCGCCGCGGCTAATCCGAAAGCCATAAGACAAGACAACCTTCGAAGGTAAAAGCCACGAGCGGCACGTCAATGCCAGTATATTTCGTTGCAAGAAACAGGATATGTCAATTCATCTGCGCTCTACGAGTCCACGGTTCGTATGATAGTTTCGGGTTACCTTGGGTACAGAGTATCCGAGAACGCGTAGCGACGGGTAAATGCGTGGCTCGCGTAGGCTTCTCACGAAAGTAGGCTACCAAGGAGGTTAGGTAATTAACTCGAAAAAAAAAATACCTCCGGAGAAGAGTGAACCCGAGAACAAGAGGGGTGGGGGAGGGAAGCTGTAAATAATACGCTCGTATTCGAAGATCGAGAGCACGCGTTAACTTTCATTCTCGTTTCTTCATCTTTTCAGCCCACCGTCGGCGGGATCCCAGTCGTGCATCACCTACGACGCCGTCAATCGTGCCTACATCGAAGCGAGAAAACGCATCAGTAAGTGCATACGAATGAAAAGAAATGCTAACAATAAATAATTAGTGTACGTAAGTACACCGTCGATGATTTACGACGTCCTTTGCAACCCGTGACTTGCCACGATTCGTCACGTTGCACGAAACGATTACCTCGCCTCGTCGTTATCCTTCATCCTCGACAACGGTCCATTGTCCTTCCCTCGCGATTCTATGCCACGATGTTGTCATACGACTTGTTTGTCATTATTTATAATCAGAGTGCTCGATATTTTTACCACGTTCGATCGCTACGTCGAGTACGTTCCCCCGTTACTATGAACAGATTAGTCTCGCCTGATCACTGTTCGTCTGTCGTTAACCATTTCCCTATTGCGCTACTTCATATTCAGATCCAACAAGACAAACAACCCTTCATTCATCACTCATCGAATACGAATTCAAATTTTCATTACAGAATTAAATATTTCACAATAGACAAATATGATCTTGTTGGTAATTTTTGCAAATCTATGATTTATTTTCGAAAGCTGTCGATTCTATCGCTAATTGCAGGACGCTTTGTTGTACATTTCTTTTTCGTTGCCCGATATGGTCACGTCTGTACTCGCTAACTAGTTACTCGCTGCGAAAGGAAACGTGCAAAGTAGTCACCTGTCGCCCTACGCGTGGGTTACATTAAACTCGCGTGTCTCTAAGAAAATGTGGTACAAATTCCGCGCCAAGGTTCCTTCAATAATTTCACGTGTACGCAGAGAAAGAGTTTAGTATCCTTGAATTTTGTTTCGCGTTACCATTACTATCGTAGGACGAAGGAAAGATCAGTGTCTATGATATTAAAAAGTAGATCTCAAAAGTAGCAGAAGTAGAAAGTTTTGAGTTTTCACTGCACATTTTGAGTCACTCTGACCCCTCCCCAGAGGTTGACACGTGTACCTCGTAATTTAACCACCCGCTGTACGTACACGCGGTGCCACATTCCCCTTAATCCAGGACTGATCTTACTTTCTCCCTACAACAGTCAGGTTCGCGTAACTTCAAAGCGATGCGTTCTCGTTAGATAACAATGCTCATGCGTTTCGTCGGTTGATTCAGATGTGGCGCAACCCAAGAGCAAAATGTGGCGACCCGAAGACCTGGCCACGGTCGGCGAACTCCTCCTGGACATCAGCTCGAACCTCGCTAACACGTAAGAACCTCTCTGAATCGTTAAGCAACCAGAAAAAATTAAATTGCATAGTAACAGTCATTTTTTATTCTAAATTGCAACACTTTTTCATGTAATTTACGTGTCAACTAACCCACGATACCAGTTAAGGATCAATTAAAAGAATTACAGTTCTCTTACTAAATAATCCTCGAGACTTTATCGTCCCACTTTGTATACACAAAATCTTTGTAGTCATCGTTGATTTTGTGAAACTCGAAAACATCAGAGGTATAACGACAATATGTAGGTGATTCGTAAGGTATCGTTCGATCGATCTAGGTACGGGCTAACCTTCGAGGATATCGAGAAGAGTCTACCGTTGATCGATACATCGAAAACGCTGATCCGCGAGATATGCCCGGCCTACTTGAGCGACGTGGAATGTCGAGCAGGAAAATACCGACGTAACGACGGTCTCTGCACGAACCTGCGGAACCCGACATGGGGTGCCACATTGTCGCCTTTCCAGAGGTGAACTTTCACGATACGCGAAACCACCAACGCCCGTTCGCGATTAATTTTAATCGTCTCGCGACGAATCTGTGTATTTTCTGCAGACTACTGCCGCCGAGGTTCGCGGATGGTTTATCGGCGCCGAGGATATCGGTCACCGGTCACGATTTACCAATGTCACGCATCGTGTCGCGTACCATGCATCCTGACGAGGGTTATCACGATCACGCCGGCACAGTTATGGTGATCGCCTGGGGACAGTTTATGGACCACGACTACACGCTGACTGGAACGCCTTTAGGTACGATCCCAGTACCGATAATTCCCCGGTTATACGGTAAAATTAACGCGCCGTTGTGTACGATTTATCGAGGTCGATCTTAAGAATGCATAAATGATTCAAGGAATTAACCTTTGCACTCGAGGCTGTTCGCGTTCGACTAGAAACAATCTCGATCACGAGCGACAAAATAAAGCTTGCGTAATGGACGTTTAAATGTTTAAAAACGTTGCTATCAGAATATGCAAATCATGCACCATGTCAGAAACTCGAGTTCAAAGGGTTAATCATCTGGTAGAAGTAAGATATTTGTTACGTAACTCTCAGCGATGAATATGATAATATATAACTTCGTAGGGTTTAAAAGAAATGATTTCGTGAGCCTCTTTGATCCTTGAAACGGAACAAGGCGATAAAAGAAGCAATTTAGAGGTGTTCGCGTGACAATAACGGTTTAATAAAAAAGTAAAAAACAGTAGAATAGGTAGATTTCTCTCGGGGGATCCGCGATTAGTCGCGAAAGAACCTGATTAGCAAGAAGCAGGGCAAAAAGTCGAACGTAGCCTCGGGTGGCCCAGAGTGACCGAGAATTCTGCGATGACAGAGAAAGCAGCCCGAGATCTAATTTTCAGTCAATAGCAAATTATGCAATCGACTTCGGTTCAATTACATCAGCGTGTCGGGACGCTCATATATAGCAAGCGTCGTAGACGGCTCCCAAGCCCTTCTACGTCGAATATTTACCGTCTATCGAAACTAGGGTAACTGCCAGAGAAAGCGAACGATCGGCGTCCAGATAACTAGCAGGAGGCCGATCATGTGACTACCGTTTCCACGGGCCGTGCGATCCGCACCAAAATCGCACGCGTCCGCGCATTTATCCTGGAACTTGGTAATTAGCGGCAGGAACAGAGGCCAGTGGTTGCGCGTCACTAGGCAAGAATTAATTGGCTGGTTCTGGGAAAAGTGTCACTACGTCTTTGAAAAATTAAACGAGAGCCGAGAGCTCGCGTTCGGGAGCGAGATAGGAACCGGAAGCGTGGCTCTCCGACGACGCGAATGAGAATTTTAGGTAGCATTAATTAAAGTTACGTGCCTAACGATGCACTGTGGGTACACAATGACTCGAATTAATATTCGGACACTACGAAATGGGTTAACTAATTAGTCCAGTCTGTTCTTGGAGCAAAGCTTGCGTCAATTTTAATTTCGTTTCATTTTCTTTAATGAACTTTTGCTCTGTCTTGTAACGTTATTGGTAGCCCAGTTTCGTAGTGCACGTGGTACATGGTATGATCGACGAGCACGCTCTTACAGATCCTCTGAACCGAAACGACCCCGAGGAATGTTGCCATCGGCCGCCTCATCTGAAGAACCCTTACTGCAACGAGATCCTCATACCGGAAGACGATTACTTCTACAGGTTGTTCAACGTAAAATGCATGGACTTCGTTCGCGCCTTTCCCGCCGTTAGGCCCGGCTGTCGATTGGGATCTCGCGTGCCGTTCAATCTTTTGACAGGAGTGTTGGACGGGAACACGGTCTACGGCATCACAGAAACGTTCGCGAGGTAAACCTACTCTTCAAGATTCTCTTTATTAGAAACGCCTCGTTTCTTTTCTTCTCGGCGCAAAATCTTCGTCGATACAGTAAAATTCCGATTAACTGGCATAATTAGGACTGGGGCAATATAATTAGATTAGCAATATAATATAATTAGACTATACCTACATATGAAATGATGAAAACGAAGAATTTGTCTCGCATCATATTTTCGGTGATGAATTTTTTTCTCAAAAGTGAGTAATATTTCGGAGGTATATGTAATGACCAAAAATGACTGTAATTAACCCCCACAACTAAAAATAATTTTTCCAGAACGATATGAAATTTTTTAATTTCATTGAAAAGTTACTCCACTTACTGAATTTTTTTCTCGAAAATGGTTAGGAATTCGAGGGTATTGCTATTGACCAAAAATGATTGTAATTGACCCCTGCAGTCGAAAATAATTTTTTTAGAACGATTCGAAATTTTTTAATTTCGCCGGAAAATTTCTCCTCTTACTGAATTTTTTTCTCGAAAGTGGTTAGGATTTCGAGGGTATTTCTATTGACAAAAAATTATTGTAATTGACCCCTGCAGTCGAAAATAATTTTTTTAGAACGATTTGAAATTTTTTAATTTCGCCGAAAAATTACTCCTCTTACTGAATTTTTTTCTCGAAAATGGTTAGGAATTCGTGGGTATTGCTATTGACAAAAAATTATTGTAATTGACCCCTGCAGTCGAAAATAATTTTTCCAGAATGATTTGAAACTTTTTAATTTCGTCGAAAAATTTACCCACTTACTGAATTTTTTTCTCAAAAGTGGTTAGGATTTCCGGGGTATTGCTATTGACCAAAAATGATTGTAATTGACCCCTGAAACCAAGAATAATTTTTCCAGAACGATATGAAATTTTTTAATTTCGTCGAAAAATTTCTCCATTTACTGAATTTTTTTCTCAAAAGTGGTTAGGATTTCGAGGGTATTTCTATTGACCAAAAATTATTGTAATTGACCCCTGCAGTCGAAAATAATTTTTCCAGGACGCTTTAAGCCAGTTATTTGGACATTCCGGATGCAGAATAATCGGAACTTTACTGTATATTGGAACGACCCGATTCCAGACCAAAGATGCATATTACTCAACGTTTCGGGTCAAGGCCATCCGAAGGCCACGGTATAGGGGGGTCGTTGAACTCACATTTTCATCAACGACTCTACAAAGTCAGAAATATACAGTCAAAAAGTCAGAGTGACCTTGGTTTTTCTATCGAGAAAAATTGTTTTTGAAATTTCTTATATTGCAATTGATAGTCGACTGAAAACTGATCGACTTTTGTTTGCATATTTTCTATTAGTTCTCTAAGAAATGACATTTAAGGAAACAGGGTCGAGAAGAAATACAGTTCGACACTAAACGGTGTCCTTATCGATGACTTTTCTGCAGCCACCCACGCGCGATACCGCACAATATTAGTCGAGCGCCGGGAGATAATGAAAACACGGTGCATGGAGTATATAGGATCGTTGCCTCATAACTTATGCCACTTAAAAAAAATACAGAACAACGTAATAACAGTCACACGATAATAGTCACGCGTTCGGTTATCGAACCACTTGCAACACGCCTGCCGAAGTGGCGGCTGTTAGGCTCTTCGAAACACCTCAAAGCTGGTACGTCCGTTACGTCAGCCACGACAATAAATCAGCATTACGTTGTTCTATATTTTCTAACGTAGCGTACATGCATTCTGTTCCTCGCACTTTCTAGTCCGCTCGCATTATGAGATCCTACGATTACTCAATCGAGTACAGCACCCGCGGTTCTTTCTCCCTTACTTCGAGGCGTTCCACGAGACGAAATTTCACGCGTCCCCCGTCAACGTACACGACGAGACCCCGTCGAAACATCCCCTATTGTTCGATACTTTCAGGAAACTTCGCTCAGGCTACGGTGGACTGCTACGTATGAACTCTGTCTTCTCTGAATATGGCCTCAAGGATCTGCTGCCTCTCAAATTGGACATCCCGGACGAGGGTTGCACTCGACCCAATCGATCGATGTACTGCTTCGAAGCAGGTAAATCTTCCTAATTTTCTGATTAGCCATTCTTGAAACGCGAGCTGCGACGATCAAGTTTCAAGAGCATTGCAAGTGGAGCTTCTTCAGGGATTAAATAACACATCGATATCGATGACACTTGAAGAAGCTAGACGAGATACTTGCAAATCTGGTTTACTCGGTATCGACTGTCAGAACCCGGACCGTGAGACTCAAATATATTGTGCAATACAGCTAATGAGCATAAAGAGCTTCTCTTGATATACCTGTCGCTGGATCCAATTCTGACACCTAATCAAACTCGTTACGATTTGCAATCGTTGCAAAACGCGAGGATATACACACTTTTTTATTTTCCACCATAGTTAGTAAACTTCGTAACTGATTTTAAATACTATTTAAAAAAAAAAGGTTGGATCTTCCGATTTTTTAAAATGTTAATTTGCCAGGAACAAGTAATGAGACGTAACGAATGCGGGAACTTTCTTCGTTCATGAAGCTCCGTTTTCGTTTAATAACAATGAAGCAACGCGATAAAACGACGAACAAATCTGATCCTTCTAGATCTTCGTTTGGATCGGACCACCGCATCGTGAGCGACGAAAAAAAACTCATTAACGGTCTGCGATTTTATCTCGTCGCACCTTCTACGCGTCACATTCACCGGCCGAGGAATGATTTTTCCCACGATGTGCTCAACCGATCAGAAAATCGCGCATATCCTGCGCGATGATCGTTCCGTGCACAAGACGAAACAATTCCATCGCGATGCACGGGTGCAGTAACCCGTAGTTAGGTGCAGTTAATATGCAACGTGCAGCTCGATCGCGTTGGCATCGCGTCTAATCGCGGTGAATAGAGACTCATACAAAGAGAAACGAAGAACCGAAATCGATCAAATTTGTAATAAAACTTTTGATAGATATAAATGCTTACTTTTAAATTTTGCGTCTGAATTATCTTGACTTTGTCGACCCAATGTATAATCAATGCCATCCGACAGCGCCTTTTAATTACCAAATTGTGGAAAAGTCGTTTATGAAATTTGCCATTTCGCGTGCAACAGGCTAATAACAGTCGCAGACCACGGTCTTACGTAGCTGCAGGACGAATGATAATAGTTATCTACAGCCAGCAGTGTCGAAATTCACTTAGAACGCTCGCATTCTGCGCCGTCGAGCCGAAGAACGTTGATAGCCGTTCGATCGGTCGATTATCGACGTATAACGCGATGTATAAGCGTGAAAGGGAGCGGTCCGGAATCAAGGTCGACGGCTTAATTGGTAATATTGCCACAATGATCGACAAGAAGGCAATATTTGTGTACTCGCAATCACGGAGTCAACGTTTCCATGCGCTACGCTTCGTTAACGATCACTTTGTTGCGTTCGATGCGCTAATTCGATTGAGTCACAGTCTAACAAGAAAGAGAACCATAAATCCTCGGCTATATCGATCTTAATAAAATTGCTGTGAAATCAATTCTCGCGGAATCGAACGCTTTATAGAATCATATTTTGGACTTGAAACTTAAACACTTTGCAGTCTTCAACGATATTTAAACTCTAACTTTATTCTGAATAATTTATAACCGTTGAACTAGCCAAGTCGAGAGAATAATTTCCTACGATTCGTTTATGATATCTACGAACCGTGGAATGTAGCTGCCCTACTCTCCGGTCGAGGAAATAAAACGCATTTTTGAAAGATCGTAAACAACATTCTCGCTGAGCGTGCCGCGATTTTTGTCCCCAGGTGAAATACGAGTGAACGAGCAGCTGGTGTTGACCTGCATGCACACGCTTATGGCGCGCGAGCATAACAGAATAGCCAAAACGCTGAATCAAATCAATCCACACTGGGACGACGAGACGTTGTTCCAAGAGTCGAGGAGGATCGTTATCGCGGAGATCCAGCAGATCACTTACAACGAATTCCTGCCCATATTGCTTGGAAAAGACGTCATGGAGAAATTTGGACTTCTTCTGGAGAAGAACGTAATTATTTTAAACTTGAATATATTTTAAAGTCGAATGATTACACGCCTATTGTATATTATTTTTAATCTATGAAGACATACTGGGACGGTTACGACGACAGCGTAAATCCAGCAGTGATCGACGCGTTTGCCTCCGCAGCGTTCAGATTCGGCCATTCTTTGCTGCCAACCGCGGTCGAAAGATGGAGTAAAGCTCACAAATTTATTGGTGAGTATGAATATCGAGTGACAATTTAAAATAAATCTCAGTTAGCCGTAGCTAAAACGTTCGTTTCGTTGAAGCTTCAAAGAGACTGTCAGACTTGATCAGAAGACCCTACGATCTGTATCGAGCTGGTGTTTTCGACGAATACATCATGGGATTGATGAACCAGGTCGCTCAGGCTATGGACGACTCTATCACGCAAGAAGTACAAAACTATTTCCTATGATCTTCGAGTCTCAAACCGCAGAATGCTTCATACGACTTGATTTCAGGTTACGAATCACCTGTTCAAAAAGGCAGGAGCCAAGTTCGGGCTGGATTTGGTCTCCTTCAACATGCAGCGCGGTCGTGAGTTTGGAATTCCGAGTTACATGGAATTTAGGTTGGTGAACATTCGTTCTTTCTTGGCGTTTTTGCTGTAGTTTTGATTAAAATAAAATACTATGACAAGCATTCTGTGTACTTCGTTAAAATTAGAACACGTTTGCATCGTAGAAATATTCGACTGTAGATTAAGGAGATGTAGAACGCGCAGGTTGGACAGAGCGATCTGGAGCGTCTGACCATAAGTGGAATGAAACTACTGGCTCCGTGGTCAGCCATTGTGTCTACGATTGAATCTCGACCGCGACAAAACTAATGAAAACCGAACTGATTAACCCGGCTATCTTTTTGCAGAAAATTCTGTGGCCTTCCCTGGGCGGACACTTTCGAGGAGCTGTTCGGTTCCATGCCGAACGAAACTATCAGACGATACAGCTCCATCTTTGAGTGAGTAAACGGGCCCCATAGCCATTACATAAGCCTCCAGAATAATAAAAAAGGAATTCCTCGTTTTCTCTCTGATTGGTAAGGTTGTACAATTCCCCCGAAGAGGGTTTACACGTCAAGGCCAAAACATCGAAAGTATCGAAATAATTTATTCCCTGCTGCATTTATTATTGCCCGTAATACCACCTAATTTCCATACCTGGCTACGATTCCACGAATCGCTTAAAATCGTAACGAACGAATCGGGTATGAAACGATCAACAAAAATTCATTAATAATTCAAACCATGCTAATTTTAGTCCCAGCCATGAATCAAGACTATTAATCGACTTCGACGATTCGCGCGTTAAATTCTCGGAAGTAACGGTGCGATACCATTCGATTTCCAGGCATCCGGCTGACGTCGATCTTTGGTCCGGCGGCGTGTCGGAGAGACCACTTCCGGGTAGCATGCTCGGCCCAACCTTCGCCTGCGTGATCGCCACGCAATTCAGTTATTCTCGTCGCGGTGACCGATTTTGGTACGAGCTGCCCAATCAGCCGTCGTCCTTCACTCTCGGTAAGAATACCTTTCCAATCGAGGATCGAGAACCCCGCGAAAACGGATCCAACGTACGGGCAAAATCTTAATCGAACGACAAACGAATTTCATTTTAGAACAATTGAACGAGATTCGGAAAATAAAGCTCGCCCGAGTGATCTGCGACAACACCGATCTGATCGACACCATACAGATCTATCCCATGGTCCTCCCCGACCACGAGATGTAAGTAATCGACGTGGCCTGATTCGTGATCGTCACGATGCACGAAGCCAGAGATATTTGTGGGAAACTGTGTGCTTCTGCGCCAAGAAAGAATCGGCTACTTGCTTTGGGACTATTTAAACGCTCCTTTCGCGACGGCCCGGAGATTCGAGCGGCGCGATTGCATCGTGAGAATCGGCCAAAGTCGTGCGGAAGAAGCCAGTAAACTAAGGCAACTTTGCTCGATCGAAGTCCTCGATACTCGTTATTGGCAAAGAAGTCGAAGCGAAACTTTATAAACTTTGAAACGTTCGTTTTCAACGCGTTGATTTCGATTTTGTAATAATTTATAATTTAGTATTCGACCAAACAGTTTTGTAACAGCCTGCAATATTCGATGGTGCAAAGATCGTTGCGCAAAGCTCGAACGATAATTTGTAAGATAATTCCGTTGGAATGAAAATGAACGTTTGGTTCGCAGAAACCCTCGAGTGCCCTGTCGAAGCGGAATTCTCCCCAGCATGGACCTGAGCAAATGGGCCGAATACCCCACCGCGAGTCACGGGCAATACGTGAGTAATCTAGAGGGCCAGTATCGACCGTACGGAAAGTAAAAAGGCTGTTTTTTAGACATAAAAGTAGAGACCGCCTAGACGAACACCACCACGTAGTCAAGGACAGTCACGAGCCAAGAAGCACGACCCTTAGGCACCCCTTACTCGAGACACATTACGGTACTGTAGCATAGCGAACTAGAAAGCGTCTGCACGTTGCATTTTGAAACAGCTTAGGGACACAGAGCAGACGGACGGATACGGTAGAGCAACGAATAGACCATTTAGCGACCTTAAGTAATTTTAATCCCCGCCCCCCGAATAACATAGAGACACCGTAACCATTATTTATTGTCGAACAAACGTTGTAATTTATATTTGATCGAGCCGCATTACCTACGATTAAATATAAATTACAATCTGCTCGTAGTTTCTTCTACATTTTATACTTTTTTTTTTTAATGTGCATCCAGACAAGGTAAATGTAACGGTAGTTGATCGTATTTTTTAGCTCTTTAAAAGCAAACGTGCCAACTGTTCTTCAAATTTTAATTCAAAGTTTTTCAAATAATTGATAACGTAATCAGATAGAAAAATACTATTCCTCTCTGCATAAAGCCATAAACAACACTGATAGTTTTTAAATGAAAAAGTAACTTAGGTGTAATTAGATATTTTCGAGGAAACCCTTAGGTTATTTAATCTCGTAGAATGTTTAATTCAAGCACGGTCAATGTCAATATTTTTTAGTAGTAAGAATTACAGATTTCTATATTTAATAAGACCGTTTCCTCTTTCAAGATCCTCTTTTTTTGTGCATGATCAACTACTGGTGCTTTTACCTTGAACGATTATACTTAAGAAGTTCTACGACGTTTACAGGTGAATATTCGAAGTTACAATTGGGCAAACATTTTTTAGCGTACAGTTGCTCGCACTGGGAACCGTTCACCATTCTCACTTGTTAGAAAAATTCTATTTTTGTAATTTCAGATGAAAAGTATTCTTACTTCACTGTAGTTTGCTTCCCTTATTTTTATATCTCAATAAAAATGTTTAAAATATTCAAGGAGAAAGAATTAATCCGAAGTTTGCTAAATAAAAAATACTAAAATATAAATGGTACTTTGCATATCCTTCACTGATAGTTCAGAATATTTTACACGAATTTTCACGAATTAGAGTATAAATTAAAATCGATATTTTGTACAGTGGTTACGTGTACATCGTACGAGGGGAAAAATGGTGAACGATTTGGACAGAAGTAACTGTACGCGGAGCCTCGAATGGCAACAAATTATATTGCGAAGGCATACTAAATAATCATGGAACTTCGCGTATATTTGCCGAGATAGCAAGGACGTTGTACGAGTTGCAAACACGACCGCTGCGGAACCAGTATGCATTTACGTAGACCGACAACTTCTCACGTCGACCGCTTTTAATAATTTGCTTTGGAAGTGTTTTTTAGTCGATACAATAGAACAGTTAGTTGTGCCTGTGTTGCGTCGCAGTTTAAACGTTGCGTATGATTGCACGATTTATTCATGGATTAACAGGTTATGAAGCGATCGATAACCATGCAATTCCAGATCACTCGTTATCGCTAGTTCGTATTAGAGTTACCTAATAGAAAGTAGACGTGCGTGTACCCACTCGATGGTAGAACATCGTGCGTTAAACATGTTCGAATACCTGTCGAATACTCCAATATTTATACCGTGAGGCAAACACTCTTTTGTTCACAGACCAAACTCTGCTAGAAAGCTCGTACAATGTAAATTTCATTGCACAACTTACGGTGTTCCATCCGTGGAACACGTTTTCCCATTCATTTACCAAACTTTGATAGAAAACTTGCTACTGTTTTACATACAGTGATGAATTTAAGAATTCTTTATCTCCGAGATATTGACACAGTCGATTGCGTACGAAACATGTGAATTGCTTGCAGTGCTTAATTCGAAGGAGATTAAATCAGTACTGTTCGATCGAGTTTATTCATTGCCATGGACCTCCAAAAGTACCTAACAATCGAAATCACCGACTTCTCTATCTTGCACCACTTTTATCTTTACACCTTCTTCCACGTTCTTAGACAATTTTCAATATGCCAGAATCTCCTCCTTTTTCTCGTGCTCTTGTATATTTTTCTACCGTTGACTATCTAATCTATCTAATTTATTACCCATACGTGATAAGTCTTAATCGTAACAAATAATAATAACACGCACATTATGTACATACTAGCACGTAGCTAATGTTAATTGCCTCAAGGTGGATAGAGCGATTAGTTCGACGTCTAGTCTTCTCCTCCGTCACGGAAAATATCAGCGTGTCCCAGAAAATATTTTCGAAACATCGAAAACAAAATGAAACACACGTTTTTTCTGTTCTCGTTATAACCAAGTTCGATCGTGGTTTGTTGAAACAAATTTACCAAAATCGCGTGGTATTTTCTGGGACAGCCCGATGCAATTATCTTTCTCGACGAACTGTAACGATACACCCCCAAAAATGTTTCGAACGAACGACACGATATTCGATCGCGAGGAACGCACACTGACATTCCACGCTGCACGCGTAAACCGTGAAAAAAAAATACCGAAAGAAGATCCCGGACAGATTTCTCCCAATTTTCTACCAAGGATTACACGGCACTAGCACCTACAATGTAAACCTATATATTGTACTGTAGCGATTGGTGGAGGAGCACTTGCTTGATGTGCGAAGACAACCGAGACCGGAGAAGGTGCGGAACGACTACAACAGAGACGAGATATTGAGACTCTTCTTTGAGAGTATTAACGGGATTGCTTCCTATCTGGGATTCAGAAAGTAAACCGGACCATCGGTGCACGGGGTTGAATCGGCACTATTCCCGAAATGGTATTCAGGAATTTACACACGACGCCGGAAAGTATGTTGACAAACCTGAGAAACGGTATCTATCGTCGCCGAATATTGGATCCGAGCAAAAAAAGGGACTCGACCGCATTGATCAGTAGCGTATAACGTATCGTACGTTCTACAAATAAGACACAAGATAGCAAATAATTATTACCATTCGTGATCGGAAAGTAAGTTGACAAATAAATTGAGAAGTACACTATTTGCTTCTCTTCTTGCAATCAAGTTGGAATAACTTTCTGTAACTTTGAAGATGAAAACTTTTCTATCCTGTGAACATACTTTCCCCACCGAGTGCATGTAATACGAACGCCGTCAGCTGAATTCGTAGATTTTTATAACTACCAGAATAAACAGTGGAACGTATTGGTCTTCGTTTTGTTATTTCTGTATGTAATTTCGAAACGTACGTTGGTTAATTAGCCCTCGCACCGTCGCACACGTTGTAGAAGTCTCAGGCACTGACCGCGCACAGGAAATTAGAAACTACAGGTGTCTCGTAATTCGTCACGCGAATAGAGGGTGATTCTTCATCGAAGAATTAGGAGAAAATATAGAATAAAATTTATAAACACTGATCGAATATTTATTTCATATTTTCGACTCATTTTTGGACGAACACTCTCCTTTCCAATGTCACGAATTACGAAACAGCATGTACACCAGAAGATATATTCAATGTACGGTTAATTGAAACAACGTCGAAAATCACAGTAAAGCTGTCGGAAGTAATTATTCGTTTGGTAGAAATTGCAGTTGATAATTTACCGACGAAGACTTTTAACTCTTGTCACTTTTCTATCGAGACTTTAAGATTCTAAGATTTCACGAGATCTACTAAACGAACAGTTATGTATATTCGAGTATCGTAATAGTTAGCATGGTCGATGCCTAGTAAAATTGGATAGTTGATAAGCAACACGGTTAAAGATGCAATTATTGTTTTAACGTAAACCTAACCGGAAGTTCGGATTGAAGGTTGCGTTTTTAACCGGGTGTATTCTAAATAGAGTCCAGAGAGTCAAGTTGATCGAACGTCGAGCCATAAACTATTACCCCTTTATGAGCCTCAGAAATCGCCTTAAGGTACTAGTTAGAAATAGTACTAAAACATTATAGTTATTTATATTAATCTACGTATGTTATCGTGTAATTTCTATTCACGTATATCTACCGAACCCGATGCATCATTTTATCGTCGTTATAGACGTATCACTTTTCCTTACTTTAATTTAAAAAAACATTGAGCAAGAGGAAGGGCGTGAAGGTGTGGAGTGTGAGTCTGGCATACAGGAACAGCACTTTAGATTGCTTGTGGTATTATTTTATTGTATTTCGTATGCATATACGTGTGCACGGTGGCTCAGGGAAACAGCTCCAAGTCGCAACTCTGCCTTCTAAACTACCCTCGAAACAATTGAAGCATTACTTAATTAGGTTACTCCATAATTTAGAAAATTCATTTCAACATTTTATAAAAATACATAAAATTGTAATTCGTCCAAAAATATAAATACGCGATGGTCTGATTGTTTCGAGAAGCATAATTCTTTGCAAGGGAACAAGAAAAGGTTGAAGACACATTTCCTGAGCCACTGTACACCAAAACTCTGTTTATATATTGTATTTTGTACATAAATACCGTCAACGAATAAAGTCACATTAACAAGAGTGCCATTTATGGAACCTTTATCAGTCTTTGTGAATTCTCCTTTCTTTTCACTGTGTGTAACTTCTACACGCGTGTTTCGCATTTCTCGTTTCTAATCCTAAAAGAATAATTTGTTTTCTGCGTTTTCTTGCTTGAAAATCTCTTTCTCATTGCATCTATCGTAATTATTTTAATACAGATTCGAACTTTTCAGAACATTCTGCCTAATCGGAAGCCCGTAAAAGTAATCGAAAAAAAGACTAAACAGCCAAAGAATCATCAGAAATTATTCTTCGACAAATACACTGGATCGTCGATGAATAATACAAATAAATCTAACGATACATTTGTTGGAAACGTGAGCTCCAGTGACGATTCGAGCAACGTGGCTCAGAATTCGAATTTAGCGCCCAAATACATCGCGAATGTCGCGACGATCGTGAATTCGATTAGGCAAAGAGGGAAAGGATTTATTATTAATCGCTCGAAGCGTTCCTTGGACGCAAAGTCGGATTACGTAGGCCCCGAAAAACGCGTCCCATCGTCCGACAAATTTTATCGCCATCCGAATCTCAGTTACGAAGAGCAAAAACGACTCATCGACGAATACAGAACGGAAGCCATGAACTTAAACTTCGACGATCGAACCTCAAACTCGACGAACTCGTCGCGATCGAAATTAATGGTGGAACTCCCATCGAAGGAATCAACGAAACACAGATACGTTCCAGTTTTGCCTACGTGCAACGATACGGATCATTCGGAAGTGAACGATTTAAACAAACCTGTATTAGAATCTTCGAAGGAAAAATCGGAAAGCACCGCAGATCACTCGATCGTGCCTACGTCGATCGAAGAACAACGCAAAAATAAAACCTACATTAATATACAGGACCATCAACGAAGTAATGAAACCTCATCAGACATTCCTGTATACGATCCTAATAAAATTCCCTACGTCGACGTACCGGATTACTCTGACATAAGAGAAGAAAGTTTAGACGAGGAAGATCGTCGTGAAAATAGCAGAAAGGCTAAGCAAGACGTTGGTCTTGAGAAGTCTACAGAATCTTTGAAAGGTAGCAAATTCGAGAACGATATCGAAGGTAAAATATTAAAAGACTCGAAAAAGAGTCGAGAGAAGGATCCAAAAGAAAATTTCTTAGTTAATGAAATATTAAAAGACCTTAAGCAGAATGTGAATGGCGAGAAGAGTTCGAATTCTGAATTAAAGAACGATCCAGAAATAGACTCGGAAAGGAACGAGGATTCAGGGTCGAAGGAAGATTCGGGTGAATTATGGCAACGGGAGAACCGAACGAGGCAAACGGAGCCTGTAATTTTCGATATAAACGAGTACAGAAAGCCGTTTAATTTAGACGAATTTCTTAAGGACGATCCGATAATGAAAAAGTTGGAACTGCTCGGAAAGGAGACGCATACCATATACGGGAAGAGCAGGAAACGAGTTCCAGGTTTCTTTAATGAATCCGAAAGTGATAATGCGTCTAAAGACTGGGCAGAGGAACAAGAGGAGCCCGCGAAGGAGCGCGATGACTTTGATTATTTCTCGAAATCGCGTTCCCGTGACTTCGACGAAGCGTTTGCAAATATCGAGGACTATAACGAAAGTAACGAAAAATCCAAAGGGGCAGGGAATCGCGAACGTTTCGACGCGGACGATATTTTGAGCACCGTTCTCGCGAAAGATCGGAAAGAAAGTGATGTTTCGCGATTTGGAAACGACGCAGAATTTCTGTCGCGGTATTTCACGGACGACGGTATTAGGAATTCGCGAGAGGACGCGAGCGTCGAAGGAGATCGCGAGTGGAAGGATGCCAGATAGGCCAGTCCCCGGAGATTTAAAAAATGCAACAATTAGAAGTAGACATTTTATTGCGTCTGTGTATTTATTGACCTAAGACGCAAAGTTGACGCGTTATCTGGTTTATAGATTACGTATCTTCGTGCATATTGGTACTATCTGTAGTACACGATGTTACGAAGGTGATCAAAAAGATGGTAATTAATGTACTTCTTTGCTACTAGTGTGTATAAACGAAATAGAATCGAGGAACTTTGTTTCTTTGGTTATGGAAGCACAGCTCAGGAAATAATAATTATATTTATTTACACTAGGTTAACTAAAATGTTGATCTAAGTCTCTTCTCGAAAATATTGATCACTGTGAGATGGTCTGACCAAGTTTTAAAATGTTCGAATTCTAATTACGAATTTAATATCTTTGAAATAAACAATAATACACTGATTTGCTGTTTTTGAATATTTCACCTATATTGTTACTTGTTCGATTGTAACAGCGCAAGATTTTGTTTTGAAAGTACCTTTCACTAAAAGATGTTCACCCATAAAGGTTGGGAATTCCCTCGATTCAAATATATGTAATAAATCGTTCTTCAGCATTCCTTGTTTGTTAAACACCAGATTAACTCGTTTCCATTGTAATGTATATCTTGCATCTTTTTGATAAGACGCGAGATTAAGGAACGCAAGGTATAAAATACCTCAAAATCTTTATTCTACTTTACAAGTCAAACACGTATCTCAGAGACGTTGTATTTGTTACAAGTTCAAGCAAAATCATTGTTGGCAAATGGAATCTAATACGTCGTAGTATAATAGTTTACCATCTATTTAGTATAATCAGGATATCTAACCTTGCGTACGTTCACTGTCAGAAACCGGGTATTTCCTGGAATTCTTTAACGTTATTTCATTCAGATACACAAGTCATCTGTGATATTAATGTACTACTATACAACCTTTATGCTTGTTTTTCCTGTACACTGTGTTTATATTGCCAAAGTGTTCAAAAATCAATATTCATCGATCTACTGAGGTCTGAGCAACTTTCTAAAAAAAAGTAACTGATTCAAGAAAGCGCAGGAAATAAATTGAAACACGAAACGACACAGGGGGAAGGTTATTATTCCTTCCTTATTGGTATTTCGGAACGTCGAGAATTTACAGACAGTGTCGACGACTGATTTATTCGTAACAACGTTTCGCAATATGCTAACAGAAGTACATATGTAACTGCCCACACGTGACAAAAATAAACATTAATAAACAAGATATACATATAATTTACCTAAATTATCAACTTTTTATGTATCACGTTGCTAGTCAAAAATTCTAAATTGATCACAACAAATGCAGTGGAAGAACTATTTATTTCATAGAATCGAATAAACAACGCAGCATCCCAACGCCAGATATATTTATTTCGAAAGATAGCCAAAATAAATCGAAGTTCTAATAAATTTTCGATAAGGCGATGTTTGTATCGTCGACGACCGTTCCCCAAAACAACCCTGAACGGAGACAACCCTGTCCTCTTTAAGCAATTATAGTTCCTCGACGATCGATCGAAATTTCCGCGCGAATCCCGCCGGAGCGTTTCGCGATTCTGAGTGCAGGAAATCGAAGAAATCGAATTAAGGTGAGATAGGCAGCGGGGTTTCCCTCGTCCGAGGGATGAATCTGGCCTCTACGGATATATAAGGCCGTCATCGTACGGTGCTCAGTGTCACTCGTCTGGTTTTATCAATTCCAACAGCCTCGGCTCGATCAGCACCGCAAACGACCAGGTAAATATCGCCGAGTTCTTCCAAAATCCTGCACTCGAATTCAGCGCGGCGGTTCGCGAAAATCGCATGGACGATCGTCGCGTCGAACGACACGCGAGTACGTCCATCGTTCGCGGGTTTCCGTGGTCCCGTTGATCCGCAAACGCGACTATTTTACGCGCTCGATCGGTCCGTTAACATCGGGTCCGGCGCGCGGCAACGATCGATCGATCCTTGGTCTTGAATCTCCAAGTGCTTCCTGGAGAGACGAGAGAAAGAGACGCTCGACGGCGAGCGACGGAGAGGCACGGATAAAGAGACACCTTCCATCCATATTTATTATCTTTATGTGTTCACAATGCGGCCGTTAAGGAGAACGCGGAAGCGCCGATTATGCGAGATTCCGGTTATAAATGACGGCGTGCGAAATAAGATAGAAAGAAACAGAAAACCGAACGGGAAAAAAAGTTAGTTGGGAGTCACCGAGGCGCCCGAGCCAGATTACCAACGTGTAGACACGCACATAAATATCGACGGTACGCGGCATGGAAGTAGAATTTCGGGCTCGTTTAAGAAACCACGCACTTTTGCAACGAACGACGATCCGTGCAACCGCTCAGGTGCACCGAACGCGCATTGCGCTCGACCGACTCGACGACTACGACGTCCGAGTTATCCCTGAAAGTTCATGGATTTCTTTCGCCGTCTCTCTCCTGCCCCTACGGTCTCTCTTGTCATCCTTATCGCCGGTTAACCGGTAATTAATCGAGGAAAGTGAACACGATACCGATGCGAGCCGCGTGCATCCCGCCAGAGGCTACGCCGGGTACTCGTGTATCCTGTTAGCTCTACCTTCACCAGGACTCGCCTTGCACTCTGGAAACTTACAGGTGAATTTTTTCACGTCGAATCGACCGGCTGACGAACCGATATCTTCTCGCTTATGCGTATTCTCGTCTCTTCCAATGGTAATGGAACATTATGGGTACTTTATTTTATATTTAAATTCATAGACCGTTAATGCTCTATCGATATACGAATTTAAACAAAATTGTAATTTCTTGGAAACTTAATCCTGGGGCCTGATTAAACTCTTGTGAGAAAGTGGAGAATTTCAGAATTTATACACGTTTTTAAAAATATCTATGACGTCGAGGAGAGATTTAATAATGGATATACTCTTTTACAAAAAAAATAGTCATTGTAAATTATCTAGATAGAAGCAATGTTTTTTGTAAATGAAATATTTTATTGTACCATAAATATTTAACGATGTCTAATTTTCGCGTTACAATAATAGTCGGACGCTTAGTGTATTTCTTAGCCTAGCAATTCCAGGAGCTATTCTATTATTTTGTTTGAACAGCAGATGACGAATAAAATCAACTTATCAAATCCTCCATCAAACGGAGAAGAACCAAACGAGTAATTTAATCGAACGTAATTATCCTGCGACTGTTTCAGCCATGAAGTCATCTACTCGCGTACTATTGGCGCTTCTCGTAGTTTCGGCTATGATCTTCGTGCTCGCAGCAGGTACGCCGTTCGATCGAGCCATTGGTAAGTTTGTAATTTATCAAAAATTGTATCCATCGACAACCCTTCGAGCTAAATGCACGAATCTACGAGAAATAATACGCGCAGACTCGTTGCTCGAAGAGTAATTTTATAACCCTTTCCACGATAGATGAAAAATGTTTAATGAATTCCTTTTGATTTCCAGGCGTTTGCATAAGGAACTGTGCTCAGTGCAAGAAAATGTTCGGTTCGTACTTCCTGGGCCAGAAGTGCGCCGATTCTTGCGTCAAGTACAAAGGAAAGCTCATCCCTGACTGCGAGGATGAGGTTTCGATCCAACCGTTCCTCCAAGCACTCGATAACGATTACTAGGTGTCCGCGTTCAAGTTCCTGGCGACTGGTTCGCGTCAATAATACGTAATACCCGCCAAAAGTATGCGTCCCGCCTAAATTCGCAGAGAGAACTTTAGTTAGGGGTACAGAAACTGGCGCGTTTCGCCCGCGATTCCTCGTACTCTTAAGATCACATTTTCTATGATTCGACGATCCCCGGACCCCAAGCGCAAGAGAAACAGACGCAATCTCGATGGCACTGAGTACACCGTGATTATTATTTGCGACTGTGTTTTCGAATTGGTACTGCGAAGAGCTGAGAATCACCCCTGCACGACGATAAATCTGTATTCCAGTCGGGGAACATTATCTCAAGCTCTCCAGTATGTTTGTGTAACACGTATTGCTAAGATTCAGAACGGAAGTATCTTCGAAATCGAACCTAGTTTACGAAACGAAGAGAAAACGCGACGTCGCGTTGCTCGAGCTGCCGAAAAGGAAAGAATGCAAGAAACGGACCGATCACACCGTAATCGTAACGCTGTCTACCGTGGAAGGAAAGAAAGATCAGTCCTGAAAGGGATTGCAAGAAAATTACTAGCATTCGATAGACTGGACAACTTTTTCGATCCAACTGTTTTTAATGTGAGACTGATCTCTCGTACTCCCTACGATACGCTCGTCAATTAACCAATCATTAGGAACATTCCACTCACCAAACGATGATTATTCCGCAGTAGCAGGCGTTACGTAGCACTCAGGTATGATGGACAACGCTTGCCTCGACTCCAGCTGCTGTACCTGAAAAATCACACGAGCTTCGTACTGTGTTGTTCCTTTCGCTAACGATCGTGTTTTTGTTATACTCCGTGAAATGTATATTTACACGCTGCCGAAGACTTTTTTCGTTCACGGCCGCCCTCGATAATAAATGTTTTACTTTATCTAAGAGCTCCGACTTTTGGCTCAATTGTTCCTTCAAAACCATTATCTCCCCGCTATCGTCCTCCCTCTGTGCCTTCTCGAAAGCAGCTAATCTCTGCTCGGCCAGCTGTAAATCCGTTTCCAACGCTACCACGCGTTTCTGCGCTTCCTCGTACTGTTTTTGCAGAATGCTCTCGCTCTGTCTACCCGAGAACTTGCCCTGCACACGGAAATCCATGAAACGTTAACCCTCCGCTGCAGTATTTCCCAGAATAAATAGCACGATATCTTGGAAAGAGAATATCTTGGAATTTAAAGGGGGTGCAAAAGAAAATGTAATAATTTTTTCGTTCGAAAGATAAAATAAAATTTATGCAACGGAGGGTCAACTCCCGCGAATGCTATAATAGTCGACGCGTACGCGACTTTATTTTCGTGCCTGATGCATGAGGTAGCTAGCTTTCGAACCCGTCCTCAATCGCTTGTTCTCCACTTGCAATTTCTCGATGATTCGTTTCAACGTGAAAATCGTCTTCTCCATTTCCAAGGTGGACTTTTTCGTACCGTGGTCTTGAATATCTTTGTCCAACAACCTTGGCGACGAATCCGACGATTTCTCTACTTTCAACAGCTCTATATATCTGAATAGAAAAGATCGCAACTTTTATGGATCCACCTATCTAAATCGATTTTCGAGCTTCCTATGCGCCTGAAAAATAATTTTAGGGGCACCTACTTCTCCAAGTGCTCGATCTTTTCCCTCAACCTCGGCACGTTCGAGTTCGCCTTTTCTAACTCGAGTCTGAGCTCGAAATTTTCACTCTCGAAGGCTAAATTCATTTTCTCGAGAATGTCCTTGGCCATTTGTAACTTTTCTAATTGAATAGCCACTGTGCTGTTACCCTACGATAACGTTCGTAAATATTAAAACTAGATCCAATCGACTTGACACCAGTTTTATCAAACGAGTACTGAAACTTGCTAGGACTGGGAGTATATTTAATTCCTTGATTCGAACCCATAACTTCTGATAAAAATGCAAACGTAGAAATAGTCCCAGACCTAGAGTCTCGAACTAGCAACTGACCTGAGAAACAATTTCTAAGGCGGCGATGCGTCTCTTTTGTTCTTCGATTTTAAGCAAAAGTTTCTCGTTGTCCTCGTTCTCTAATCGATCTGTTAATTCTTTGATACGATCCCGTAGAGTCTGACACTCTTTCTGAAACTCGTCCGTTAAATTCTGTTGCGAGGTTGTTATAGGTCTGGCGGATAGACCCCCAGCTATGGTGCTGTTCTCCATTTTTCGTTTGCTCTTCAAGTTCCATTTCTCCCTTTCCATGCACATCACTACCGATCGAAGCTTGTCGTAACTCAAAAGCAATTTTCCGTACTCGTCTGTCTTTTCCTTGAGTTTCTCTTTCAACTTTTCGGCGGTTTGTTGCCACCTCTTTTGCTTTTCCCACAACGATAGTTCCTCCGCGGTCTACACGAAGTATTTCGTACTTACTATACAAGACTTAACTGACTCATAAATCTTAGAAAGACAAACAGAATGTCTTGTGGTTCGGTTCAGCAAATAAAAATGCAGAAACGAACAATACTATACAAAATTATTTATATTCATGCTTTGTAACAACGATATTTTTGTGCAGCTTTAAAATAAATTGAATCTAAAATTTCTATTAGTCAAATAAATCTTGAAATTCACACGTGCTAAACGATATTACGCGCGTACCTTAGCTTTCTTCGCTTCTTGGGCCAAATATTCGCGATCTAACCGAGTTCGCGCCCTCTCTAACTCCTCTTCCAAACTTTTTACTTTGCGCTCGAGCTGCGTTTCGCGCTGCGAAGTTTTCTTCTCTTGCGACTTAACAGCCATGTATCTACGATAGAAGCAATTAACCGTAAATGTGCTTCTTTGGACCGTGCAGAGAAATGTGTGCCACGTACTGTGCGCCCGCGAGAAAATGATCAACGTTTCCGGAATTATTAGACTCCAAACTGAATTCGTGTTCCTTTGCCTGACTTCTCGCGGACTCACGATACGTAAATTTTTCCCAACGAAAGGATACCTGCGACTGAGTTGTTGCTTCAAATCGGATATTTCGTTCTTATACGTTTTCTCCTTTTCCAATAACGATTGCAATTGCTTGCGCACGATCTCAGTCTGCGCTTGTTGCTGCGACTGATCGCGACTGAAGGCCAACGTGATTTCGTGCGTCTTCCTTTCCGACTCGCAATGCGTTATTGCTCGCTGAGATCTAGTCGCAGACTCCCTTAACTCGACCTCGTTCTTTGCACGAAAACGACAAAACGAGAACAAATTTTTAGGCGTGACATGGACTGTCCTCCGAATAGCTACCAGATTTTATAAACCACCTTGTATAGATACCTCTAGCTGTTGACACGCGAGACTGAGCTCGTGAATTTTGCTATCCCTCTCCTGCATCTCCTTCATCAACGAAATGTTTCCCTTCGTGAGCAACATACGATTCTCAGCCAGCTGTTTACGAAGTACGTCCGTCTCGGATTGCCACTTTTTCAGTTCTTCGCGATAACTTTCGAGTTCGTTTTTGTGCTGTTCTTCGAGCCTGGGGCAAGAAGAAGCATGTACAGTGACTCCCGCTTCTAAGAAATTTAATCAGTTGCGTCGTCTCTATGTTTCTGGGATAGATTGCGCGTTTACGTTCCCGAGAATCGACTTTGACGAAGAGAGTAAACAACCACGGGGCTTGAAATACTTCCAATTGCTTCAAACACGATTCGAAGCCAAGTTTAAAACTCTTGTCTCGTTATAAAAAAAAAATTAGTCTGGGGCAAAACTGTTTCATATAAGTGGGAGATACTGTACTTCGAAAACCACTTCGTTCCTACATTTACCTTTCCCTCATACGATCCATGTGTCCCAGCCTTTCCTCAGCCAGCAAGTGCCAGCGATCGCTGAGCTCTTTGGTGATGTTCAGATTCGCCTCGAGAGTCGAGACCTTTTCACGAAGCCTGGCAGCTTCCTCAGTTTGCATGGCGTTGCTTTTCGCATCGGTTTTCACCGCGATCTCGACCAACTCGTCCGTCAGCAATTTCTCTGACTCGACCGTTTCACTCTTCTGCTGAACAGACTTGAGAACCTCGGTCTGCATCGCCTGAATCCGAGCGTGCAGACTCTTGATCTCAGCCTGCAGACGTGCAGCGGCTCTGCTGTGCTCGTCCCTGTCCTCCTTCAGCAGATTCTGATACCTGGCTATGGTCTCCTCCTTCTGACCGACGAGTCTCTGCAAACTGTTTATCGTCGACTTCAGCGCAAGCTTGTCGGTGTGGTCGACGCTGGGAGGCTGCGACTGAGACGACAGCCTGTACTCCTCCAGCAGCGTTTCCTTCTGCGTTAATTGCGAATCCTTGCTTTCTATCGTTTTGTTCAATGTCTCCACCTTCCTTTGGTACTCCGCTATCTGCGATTCGTACTTGACTAATGTCGCGGACCGTTCGGAGGCGATTTTTAAAGTCTGACTTAATTGCTCGCGAACCAAGGACACCTCGTGTCCGCTGTTCCCTTCCACCTCCGCGTTCGTTTTCATTGTCTGTCCTCTCTGCTCGGTCTCCGTTCCCGAGCGCGTTAGTTTTTCTTCTTGCTTTGTTTCTACGTCCTTGTATCCCGTACGCTCGGTCTGTTCTATTTTCTTCTCCTCCGAAGGTGATTCTCCTTCTAGCCCCATTCTTCTCAGCGGGGAGGCAGTCTGGATCTCGGCTTCGCTCGTGTCCTTCTTCTCCAGGCAACAATTGTACGGATCCGTCTGTATCTCCCCCGATTTCGTCGTCGTAGTTGCCTGGACCGACTCGTGTTTATTTTCGCAACACACGGGACTCGTTCCCGTATTACGCGTGTCCACTTTCGCTTCTTGGTCTTGCCCTTTCGCCCAAACCTTCTGTGTCTGTATCATGTCCTGTTCCATGCTCGTCACTAGCTCGTCGTACTCCATGAATTTGTTATTCGCAATTTGTAACTCGTACTCCAGTTGCGTTATTTTTCTCTTGTACTTGAAATCCTGGTCAATTATTAACACTCGTGTTATTCGAAATGCCTACTTCGATTTTTACAAAAATAAATTTAAACTTCATCTTTAAAAAACTCTCCAACATTCTGCGTTTGCATTTTACAAAAATAAAAAGAATTTTTACGCTTTGGAAGATACTGTTGGTACGAGAAACCTACGTTTAAAGTGTACTGCGAGTATTCGGAAAAACGCTGCACAATGTCCTGCACGCTGTTACTTCCGATCTGTTGCTCTAAAATATCCTTCAAACTCTCGACAATTTGCAGTCGATTGGTCAACGTTTCTTGTTGCACCTTGGCGCTTTCGCGACACTCTCTAGCATTTTTTAATTCGGAATCAATGTTTCGTCGCTCGTCCCTCAATTTGAAGGATAACGATGCTATTCTATCTAAAGCACTGATCGAAGAAGAACCTGCATATTGGTTCTGCAAGAACCCTATAATATCTACGTACGTTCTGTAAATAGATCTTATTAAAATACGAGTACATAAAATATAAACAAAATTTGACTCTTCCCAAACGGCTGACACTGATTATATTGATACATGACATTCATTTTATAGTTTAAAGCGAAACTACATGTTTGGCAAGCCTAGGCCACAATGCAAATAAATTGCTTATAATTACTATTTATATTAATTCAAATTTATGCTTCGATGTAAGTTAAATTAACTATTCCATTCTTTGATGTACTACATTTTTAGGCATTCTTATGTTTTCAACTCAAAATTCAGTATAATAACCCTACATAATTTCGATTCCACGACCGCTGGGGAAGAATCGACTTCGCAGAAATAGTTTCACCTGCAACGCGATTCGCATTGTTTACGACAATCCTGAACGTAAGAGCGCAAACCTTCGCAAGTTGTTCTTGCCTTGTCGAGTTCCTCCTGCAAACAGGACGTTTCGTTCTCGAGCCGTGTTTTCTGCGAGTTCAGTTCCATTTCAGACGTTGTTTTGCTGGTCAGTTCGAAGTTCAGCCTCGAAATCGTGGCTTTGTCTTCGCTGACGGCCTGCAAGTCCAAAATCTGATGCCTCAGGTTGTCCAGCTCCAACGTGTTCAACGTGTTCAACGAGTACTGTCGTTCGGCGGCTTCCTCGGAAATTTGAATCAGCTTCGTCAATTTTTCGTTCTCCAACTGCAACGCGGCATTATTATCCTTTAATTCTTGAATCCTGTTGTCGTCCAGAGGTGCAGTCTTCTCGAAACACGCGTCCTTCGAGAGCCTTTTATGCAGAATGATCAGCTCCTCCTGTAGTTCAGACTTGGCAGCGATCGCTTCTTTGACGTTCTCTTCGCTTTTCGATAATTGTACCTGTAAAATTTCGTGCAAGCTCGTCACGTGGTCTGCACGTTGCTTCTCCAACAACTCGTTCGCCTTAGCTTCCTTCAACTGACGAGTCAAATCCTCCTCGTTAATGCGACCAAAGTCTTTCTGTAATAACTCGATCAGTTGATTCTTTTCTTGCTTCAGCAGTTCCAAATCGTTCGTCAAGATCTCTGTTTCGTTATCGTTTCGCGACAGCATATCGTTCTCCAGCAAATTACGATATCTTATGTTCAATTCGTCGTGCTTCTCCTTGAGTTCGTTGTACGTTATCTTGCTAATCGAGTTGGACAAGTTGCTTTGCAACATTGAAATCTCCCTCTCGAGAACCTTGTTGTGCTTGTTTGTATCAGCATAGGCTCTCCTCAAATACGTCTCGTTCTTTATAGCCTCTTTCTGATCCTCATAGGATTTCATGGTTTCTTTATTTAGCAGCTGTTGGAGAGCAGCGTTATTCCTGTTCACGATAAGAATCTCGCTGGCAGCTTCGGCGTACTCCTTGGTCTTAATCGCGAAAGCCTTTCGAACCTCACCGTCGCTCTCCTCAAAAGTTTTCAAACTCTGCTCGTAAATATCTAGTTGCAACTTCAACTTCTCGATCTCTGTGCTCAATTCGTCGTTCTGCTGCGCTAACGAATCCTTCTGTTTTTCCCATTCGTCCGCCTCGTTCGCGTACGCCTCTTGCAACCTTCTCATTTCGGAAATATACATCATCGTTTTCTCGCTGTCGGATTCTTCCGCGTACATTTTCTCGATCTCCGTGCCATTGTGCAAGGCTAAAGTCTGAAATACCTTGTCCTTTCTTTGCAATTCTTTTCTGCAATTATTTCCTAAACTTCAGCCTCTCGGTTCGAACCCTTTCACACTACCCATACGACACCACGTATTCCATAAACTACTATAGCAGCAATAATTCAACGATATTCTAGACACATTACTGTAATACTCCAGAATAATTGTTTTACGAAAATATATATAAAAAATATTGTAAACACAGGAAAACTGTTACAGTACTTTAGAAATATCTCTTTAAATATTTCAGTGCTGCAAAACAATGTTCTAAGCATGTTTTAGGAATATTGTGTGCAGTATGGGTAATCAATAGCAACGAACATTTTCCGAATGTACCTTAATTGTTTAAGTTGTCCTCGCAATTCTGCATTACTACCCTGTACAACATTTAAATGTTCCTGCAACCTCATTGCCGGATGATACCAGCCAGCCAAATGTCTCACATCTAACGCTTCTAACAATCTTTCTAACGTACTCGACTGTACTTCCACTACGCTTTTACCTGAGATATCAAACAATTAAGTACGGATTTTTTTTGGAGTAGAGATAGTATTCGTAAACGTGGTTAATATACGTGTGTTTTATAGTAGATGTGGGTTAGAGATAGACGGGAAATGAAGAGTATCGGAGTGTATCCTTGCGTGAATAGAATGGAAAAAGACAGTGCATCGTTAAAGTACCATTAAAATTAGCGAAAATTCACCGTCTTGATTACGTATACTGTCCAAAATCTCATGCATGCCCGTTCTGAGAGCTTCGTTCTCTTCTAAAACTAGCTGCATGTCCTGTTGCATGATCGCTTTAGGGTACAATGACTGTAGTTCGGACTCTGGCAATTTGGTGGAATGTAAAAATTCTGTGCTACCGTCTACTGTGTTATCCGAGAAGTCAAACACTTTTGAAGTTTTACTTAGCTTATATTTTAATATCCTTATCTAGAATATTAACATAGTCGATGAAATATTTTCATTTTGGTCAAATAAGAAAAGTTCAACGCGTATAGATCACTTATCCTTACGTCTGATTTCATTTCTAAATTTTCTTCGGCGAGTATTTTATTTTGTTGCATGAGTACTTCTAACTTCTTTGTTTCCTTCTTACGTTTCTCTAATACACTCTGTATACACACTGACTCGTCCTCTGGAAGGCCTAGCTTTTCTCTGAAGTTTACATTACCAATGTTTACTTTTTCGTCTACAAATTTCAGTGGACACAAGAAAGTACGAACACATAATTACCTAAGAGTTATGATCTCCATTTCTTGATACGAATTTAGCATTTCTAGTTTATTAACAACGTTAACCAAATCTTTTATATGCGCGTTTCTATCTTTCTGATCACTCTGCAATACTTTTATTTCATTTAGTGCATCGGTTAGCGATTGATTTTCGTCCTCGTATTTTCGCAAAGTCGCTAATACTTCGCACAACTAAATGAAAGAAAGGTCGTTAAGAATCTAAATGATATTGTTCGAACAGAAAATGTATGAAAAACTGACTTTACTGCTCCTCAACCGAGCATCCTCTTCTGCTTCTGATAATTTAATTTGCAAGTTAGATACTTGCTCGTTTGCGTCTTGCAATTTTTTTAACAAATCTTTGTGCTGTTTCTTTTTGTTATTCTTTCCCACTCTATACGAAATGTTAATAAAACATCTATAAATCAAAGTCTACCGCCATGTTTATTTCCTATTGATGATAATGTACATACTTTTGTGCGTCTGCTTTTAGCTTTTCTATAAGCGTCGCGCCTTCGTTAATTTCATCTACAGCCTCGGACAGCTTTGTTTTTAATTCGGTCATAATTTTATCGCGAAGTTCTAATTCCTCGTTCAAATGAACAATTTCAGATTTATTTTGTTCCTTAACAGACGTCACAGATTGCATAACCGACTGTGACAAATTTTCCTGTAGCCGTTGTATTTCAGCATCTTTCCCATCCAGTATTGCCTAACGAAGTTTCGACGAAACGTGTAAAATATTTAATAATTTCGTTTAAAATTGTAATTATATATACCTTCCATTCGTTAATTCTAGTGTCAATTGCTGCGCCAAACTCATCTATTACGCGATCCCTATCTATTTGCTGAGCAGTTATTTCCTCAATTTGAGCAACTAATGCAGTATTTTCCTGCTCTAAGTACGATATTTTTGCTAAAAATAGAGACCCCATTACATTTCACTGAGACATTGTATCTGATCGCATTATAAAAAAAAAATATTCTTTCCTATAGTAACCTTTGCTTTCTACAGATTTCATTTGAGCAGAAGACAATTCCTCTGTCATCTCATTCATTTTTTGTGTCGCATCCTCCATCTCTTGTGTCAGTGTTGTTAATTGCTCTTTCAAAATTACATTATCCTTTTCTAAGCTCTAAAGAAATTATGCAACCAAATTAACATCAACAGACCATCTCCATGATCCTTCGTTTGTTCCTAATCTTACCTCTAATTCTGTCATAAGAATTTTAATCTTATTATTTTTGCCTTGTAATTCATCATCATAATCAGCACTCTCTGATATATCCGAATGCTTAAAAGAACAATATACTTTATAAAGAATATTGTAAATACGTATTTACAAAAGTTAAACAATTTTAGAAGATAAAAGTTTATCTTACTTTAGATAAATTGCCAGTTCCATGTTTTATATCAGATGTATCCCAATCTGACATAGAATTAAAAAAAAATTGTTTATAATATTATACTTGTCAAGTGAAATAGTTTGATATACTCTAAAAAGAAATGGTTCTATGTTAAATCTTGTTCCAAGTACAACACATTTTTTACCTTTCTTTCTACGCTTAGCAGACTCAGGCTCCAATGAAGTAATAGTCTCTTTTAATTTACCACATTCTAAGAGTAACGACTCAACCTATTTAAAAAATATTTCTTAGGATATCATATATTAGATAGAGCGACCATGGAAGAATTAGAAAGCATGTATCCTTTTCTTAAATATCTAATGCATAGATAATAATAGAAAGAGCCTAATAATAGTAATTTGTAACAACAAAGATATGGAATAGTTTTTTTTACTTGATTGTCTTTGTATTGTAGTATTTCTTGAGAGAGTTTCACTAGAACTCGTAGGTTATGTAGATTACTAATTTCATCAACATCACAACTGATCATAGCAGGATAAAGATCCTCTATATCATCATCAGTTAATGACGATGGATCTATAGATAATATTCGATCCAAATCGGTACGACCCATTTTTCACGTTATTGTATTAATTCTCACTATTGTAACCTCCCTATCATAAGTTTAACGTTTACGAGCAACGCATAATCGCAATCACTATGGTAACAATGTTATGAATACCTAACCTGACATCTAACAGGTGATCGAACAAACATTAAACTTACAATAAAATAATTTACTTTGGGAATTTTAGACAAATCATTGAAATAAATTTATTGAATTATTAATCCAAATATTCGACCATCATCGATAAATTTTTTTGTTAAAGAAAATTTTTCAAAAGATGAAAATTCGTTCTATCACAGACGAGGTATATGAATAGACCTTTCACCTAATGTAATTTTTCGGCCCGAGTTTCTGGGGTCCCGGGACCCCATTACCATTTTCGTGTCACTCGCAACGTTATCAACAGATTCAGAAATTAACACAAGAGGAAGTGAGAGAAAAAAAAAAATTACATAAATTTTATGAAGAAATATGAGGAAATATTTTCTTCTTGGTGTCTTCATCACTCCCACGATGTTTTCCTGAAACAAAAACTCATATCCAATATAATATATAACTCATATAAAACAAATAAATATGAAAAAATATTTCTTCTTGGTGTCTTGATTAATCCCACGATGTTTCCCTGAAACATAAATCAGACAATAAATAAAATTGTACAAAGAAACTAACTACATCAAGCTACTTCAAACTACAATAGAGTGGCACATATGGGGATGAAGTTAGACGTTTAAAATATCGCAACACTACGGGGCAACAACGCGATAAATCAACAATCGCAACGCTAATTTATAATAGAAAAAATTCCAAACGCGACTTGTAAGAATAAAAGCAACCCGCGAATGGTAATTATTCGCAACACTACCCTGAAAAGCAAACGCGAAAAATAGTAATTCGCAACTCTAATTCGCAATCGCGTTTACTAAAAATTCGCAACGCTATTTTTAAAGCAAACGCCCGGTTCCTAGGTTTGCATAAAGACAATCACGAATCGTATTTATTCGCGGCACTGATATATCAACGCAATAAATATTTGTTCGCAACTCTACGAGCAAACGCGAACATTGTATATTATTCGCAACTCTAACTTTAATCAGGGGCTATTGGTACATGTACATAGACATGTACTGGCCACAAAATAAACTAACTACTGCTAGTACTACAATTGGGGTAGAATTTGGGCATTGAAAATAACGCAACGCTATATAAAAAATCGCACGATTAATCAAGATCGCAACGCTAATTTATAACATGAAAATTACAAACGCGGTTGACATCCATTATATATATAAAAGAGTAAAAAAGCAACGCGAATCGTGATTGTTCGCAACACTACCCTGAAAAGCAAACGCGAAAAATCGTATTTCGCAACTCTACGAGCAATCACGTTTATCAATAATTCGCAACGCTATTTTTAAGCAAACATTCAGTACCTAAGTTTGCAAAAAAATCAATCGCGTATCGTGTCAAGGCGCAACACTACCCTGAAAAGGAAACGCGAAAAACAGTGATTTGCAACTCTACAAGCAAACGCGATTATTGCATATTCGCTACTCTATGTATATCATAACCGCGAGTTTTGGGGAGGGATGGCTGGCATGTTTGGTGCAATCATGTACCATCAGGTACATGCATACGTGAGCGAGTCAGAAAAATAAACTAACTACAACTACAGACGAGTTAAGTGACAAAGTAGTAACAGGAATGACTTTCCATTCTCATCCGAGGATGAAGATGAAAAGCCATTTGTTGCAGCCCACTCTTGAGACAGTTTGTCAGGGCCTCTTCGGCTCATTGAGAGCCTTTTCTTTTTTCGGCGGTCCTGCCGATGCCTGAAACTTACGAAAGACCGGGCTCGAGATTTTGTGTAATACGTAGTCTTCCAACAATATACGAATTGTTGCAAGAGCATACGTGGTGAATCTCGAGCGGGACGAACGTTTCGAAAAGGACCTAATCCCGACCGCGAGCGCGAGAGAACGACTTTAAGAGTCGCGCGATTCGAAGAGTCGAAAATAAAGCCGAAACAAACAGCATAAGTGCGCCGTTTGAATCAGCAACATTTCTACTCTCGAAATCGTAACTACAGGAACAGAACTGCCACGCGAAAACGCGCCTACCCGAATTACTAATGTGGACAGTCCTGCCCTGACCCTACCTACTTAGGTTTAAACACACACACCAGAGAATAAGTTACCTACCTACCTAACCCTATATTTAAAAAAATGCAAAACTCAGTCTCTCAAACAAACACTCCACGGTTCTCATTCTGAATGTCCGGGCGCGACCTAAACTAGAGAGGACTCCCCGGGGTTCCTCCGACACCCGGACACAACCTCATTCATACTCTAAATGTACGTACCATTTCTGGAATCGACTGACAAAACTAGTGCCCATTGCGTACTTTTATTATTTATGTAAAACATTTTAATATATCTGATATAGTCTTTATTAAAATATGCTCTATATATGATCATATAAGATTGAAAAGCTAATTCATTATGCATTTTACAATATTATTGACGCGTATGCAATACGAACAATTGCCAAGTAAATAATAACTATAAGTTTAATATCATTATTGTGACTGTTATGAATCTAATGTCAATAAATTCTGTATCTGAATTGTAATAAACTTTTGAAACGATGCACTTCCACATCCTAACCACAAACACACATATGTGGACAGTACATCGTGCACGATACACTAGCATTGTCAGTCGCACGGATAAATTATTATTATAAATGTTACAAACTAAGTCATCGTGCCCCGTTGCCTTCGCTCGTGCAAATAACACTTGGGCATGTGCATGAACTTAGGCAACGAACACGGAAAAGTATCCTGAAAATCCTGACTAGAAAAACTGGTTATTAATAATTAACTAAACGGTATCTATTCTCAATTAAAATGACTCGACTTGTTATATGTAATATATCAACAACAGACTACGTTAATATTGAAAGATATTATTATTCAAGAAAAATTTGTGATTGAAATTTAATTGTTCAAAATGTAAGACTTTAATAAAGATTTCACGATAAAATAATTTACTTTGCAAATTTAAATAAATTTGTTAAATTATTATTCAAAATATTCAATTAACCTTGGTCGATTCTGTCGTCAAAGTAAATTTAAAAAAAAATAAAATTAACATGCATGTTCCTTTGAGTTGAAAATCGACCAGTCGCGAAACGCCTTCTTGCACATAAAATACATCATATGATGTATTAATTAATAAAACGAATATTTAATAATTATATTAATGATGTAAGATATTGTACTCAATCATACGTTTAATATAATGTTTACACATTATATTAATTCATATTCTACTCAATTATTTAATTCATATAAAGATAATAAACATATTTCATATATTTTATCAAAATTGTGTAATAATCATATTGTGTAATATTTATTGATAACATTAAAAAACGCGAGTGCAAGAAGACCCTAGCCTGCACTAAAAAAATATAACTCATGGGTATTTTTCATACCCGCGGTCACTTAACTCGTCAAAATACCAAATATACAACTGGTCACCCGTGTTGATTCGGATCTTTCATCCTACAACATGGTTGGGGACCAGAGGAAACAAAATAGCATGCGACTCACCAACTGTAGAATTCAAACACCCGGACGACGATGTTGCCTAGTAGGAGTCATCAGCGAAGTCATCAGCGACGTTAGAAACGAAGTCAGCATCAAGGTCAGCAGCGAGATCATCGTCGAGTTTCTCTGGATTCACAAGTACGATGATGAGATGTCAGGATCCTTTAGAAAGAAAGAGTAAATGTTTTTACGAAAAGGTTTCTACCGTATTTGAAAACTTGATGGCAAATTTAGATGAAACAATTTTTTTTAAGCGCACTCGGAACAAAATACGAAGGATACTTACATTTTTCGCACGTGAGCATCGCCAAATACTCTTTTTCGTACAGATACAGGTTTCCTGTCGAAACGTGTTCACAAACTCTCAAAGCATTATGGCGTCGCGTGACCGTAGTTTGGCCGCAGTTGAGAGTCTCATGTGGTTGAATTGTAATTACGAGCTGCCACAGAAATAAAACACAAATTTGTTAACAGACACTTATTAATATTGGATAAATGCATCGATGGATAATGACGAAAAGAAGAGAACCGGTTAAAAATGAAAAATACGTTTGACCGTAGTTGAGCGTCCCGTGTTTGAATTGTAATTACGGGCTCTTACAGAAATAAAACACTAATTTGTTAATATGCACTTATTAATATTGTATAACTGCATCGATGGAGAATGACGAGAAGAATAGAAATGGTTAAAAATAAAAAATACGTACCTAATTAGACGCGAAACTGTCAACGCACTTCTCACACCACTTTCCAGACGAAGAATGACGAACAGGATCGGACACGTCTCTCTCGCGAGGAGTGGGGAGTGGAGTGGGGAGTGGGGTGAGGGAGTCACGTAGTCCGTCTCGACTCTTGATGTGTATCTTCGAAATAAAGGTTAAACCTTATATCTCGAAGAACTGAAAATAAATAAAATTAAGACATGAAGAAAATAAAATTAATATAAAAAGATATCAAACAAACAATTAATTAATGATTTATAATCTTTATACTCCTGTGACGTCACAATGAGAAGCATCCGACTTTCGATTATTCGATAGATTCAATAGTGTCTCTTAAAAATGAAATATCGATATACATAGTGAACTCATTTTATCGAAATATGTACTAATTAATATGTAAATATATTCATTTTTAATTGAAATTTTAATAAATGCTTTTCATATAAATTGAGTGAACGCAACAACAATAAACAAATAATATGTATAAAATATACAAATATATTAATTTTTCACGATGTTTTTCTTTTGCATCATAGGACTCCCACTGAATACTGTTCCTGTCTGTTACTCGTCTGTACCTATTTCTCGTCTGTATTCTATAATATTCTTTAAAAATAATTTTATTCTTACCACTGTTAGCATTCCTAAGCCAAGGATAATGATGCGATACG